TAAGCACATGCAGTAAGATTAGTACATGATGTGCATATACCATAAGTTATAGACATGCATGGCATACAACTTTGATTGGTCCAGAAATATCCAGATGCACAAGTAGCAGAAGTATATCTAGTGTCTAATAAGGCAAAATTAGAGATATTAGTAACAATTGCACCCTTGGAAAAGTATTGACTACTTGGTGTAAGTGAGGTTGTTGTAGTTTAAACACTTTATATTGAAACATCTTATGGGTTAGTTCTACAAACAAACTAAAAATATTAATAAAATAAATTACAGCATTTTAAGGATAGACACATTACATACAAACAAAATCTTGAATTTATGATGAAGTTGATTAGGTTAACCATCCACTTGTCAAATAGAAACCATAATTACAGATTTAACAACCATTTGTTTGATTCTATTAAATTGTAGCTAAAATATTCAATTTATCAGTGGAATAACAATTTCCATTATCTTAAACACAACCACCATTTTATAAATAGAATCCATTGATACATGCTGAACATACATTTCCAGGAGAAGTACATTAACTACATCCATATTAACAAGCTAAACATTAACCATTCAAATTATAGTATCCATTAATACAACTAGAACAATTAGTAGCATCTTAACAAACCAAACAAGTTGTGTGATTATTACTATCAACAGTACAAGCTGTACATGAACTGGCTGCTTTGAAATAACCAGCTTAACAATTTGTACAATCTCCTATAGCAGGTCCACTACATGAACTACAATTAGAAATACAGGTTTAACATTTTTGATTTGAATCAGAATAATATCCATCAACACATGAAGTACATGATGTTTAATTGTTTGTATTTAATGTACAACTTCCAGATTGACAATAATCACATGAGAAACAAGTTGAACCACTTTAAATCAATCCAGGCCAGCATTCAGCACAACTTTAATTATTGATAGCAGTTTGATCTGTTGGAACTAGTAATTTAGCACAAGTGTTATTAGATTAAGCTTAAGTACATTTGTTATTAGCTAAGAAGTATAAGGTTTTGCATTATGTATATACAATGTTACCAGAAACATTTGCATCATAATGACATCTTAAAGCATTGGGTTCACCAGCTGAATCACATTTAGCACATTATCCTTATGATGTTACATAGTAAAGATCTTAACATAAAGAACATGAGGCAGTATTATTTTGTGTATTATATGAACAATTTGAAGTAGATTAACAATTTGAAGGACATTATCTACATGTACCACCTTATAAAATTGACATAGGTGTAACTGAAGTACAACTTATACAATTGCTATTAGCATCACAAGCAGAACAAGTTGATGGAAATCCTGTACATGTTACACATGATCCATTGACTGCATAATTACCATCAGAACATTTAGTACATGTAGTAGAATTACTACATGTTAAACAGTTGTTAATTGTATTACATTCTCCACATGTTTTATTTTATGTATCAAAGTATTAGGTAGTACTACATGATAAACAGGTATTAGAATTAGTTAAATTATAATTTGTCAAACATACTGAACAAGTTGAAGTATCACTACATTTTTAACATCCAGATATACATTAAGTACATGTAGTTCCAGTCAAATAATAACCATCTATGCATTCTGTACATTATTTACTATAATAATTAATTAAATATATAATTACAGGAAATTACAACTTTTACATGAAGCATCAGCATTACAAGTTTTACATTAATTAATATTTTAAAAATAGAGAGGATAATTAGTTGAAGTCCAAGTAGATTCTGTTGTATCAAAATATTCACTGGGTGTAAATTCAGCCATTACATTATAGTATCCATTAGCACATTTAGTACATACACCAGTATTTAAATCAAATGTTAAGCAATTATTATTAGTAACACATATTCCACCTATTATATAAAATATAAACTATACCTATTAATGTTGTACCAGAATTAGCAACACATTAGTAACATACTATGCTTGTTCCATCTGCTGCTAAACCACCTCTAAAACAATTACTGTCTGGAATTGTAATGCATGATCTATATTATATTAAATTAAATATACTATCCAACTTAGTAATAACCATCATTGCAAGTAAGAGTATCACATCCATTATATGTTTTACATGTACACTTTCCTCCTGTTACTGTTAAGCAAGCCATACAGATCTAATCATTGAAAAAAAAGCCTATTGTATATTCTTTACTATTACCTGTGTCACAAAGATATAAAGGTTAATTGTCTGTTTATAATGTTGTAGTTACTCCTCCAGGTTAATTAGTTTAACCACTCACTCCAAAATAACCTAAAATTAAGAGAATGTATAAAAATGTCTAGACTTTCATTGTTTTTATACAATATAATTATTAATAACTAAAATCTTTAATTTTCATACTATATATATTAAAGAATTAACCCCCTCTGTCTAATTATCTCTTACGAATCATTACAGAATTTAATCTCTTCTTCTATCTTCCAAGACTATACTATCATATCAATACTTAGTTCTATCTTATTTATCTCTTAATAGCTAATGCATATATAGAATCTAATGCTTTCGTACTATTTTATTTATTTAAACCTAATTCCATATTTTTGTTTTTCTCAAATTTCCTCAATTAGAAACATTAATACTATTATATATTCTAATATTTATCACTGACATTTGACATATTAACAATAAACTAAGTAAATTAATAAGAGATAATTATTAAGAATATATATAACAAACAATATATGCAATAGGATTTTATTAATTACTAATTATTTCAATTAATTTAATTTATATTTCCTTCTGCAAAACCTCAGATTTTTGTTTAATCTTGAAATCTTAATGCTCTTCGATATGAATAATTTTCTGTAGATCTCACTCGCTTAACTAAATTAGATTTCCTATGATAAACCACTCCCTTTGAAAGAATATTTGATACTATTTATTATTCTTCTTCATTCAAAGATGTTTAAACATTATTAAATTAAAATTACTATTGCTTTTATGGACTCTATCTTCTATATCTAACTTAAGTTGATTTAGAGTGATGTAAACCAGGTAAATGTTTCTCCAAAAATTAAGGAAGATTTGGTAAATTCTTTTCAATTATCCTTGATTCATTTATCACTTATCTATATGCTTAATTTTAATATAGACTTTAAGTCTAGACTTTCCCCAATAAAGATCTATCTTTAGCTCTAGTAAAAAAACTTCTATCTACATATTTTTCATGGGCACTCAAATTTTGTGATCGTTCTCCAATAGATCTCTTTTGAAACTTCTTTGTTGAATCCTATGAAAGTGTCTTAAATCTTCCTTACAAATTTTAAAAAAATTATAACATGTTAGCATTTTAGTATTAATTCATTTTGGATATCAACTACAATTATTGTTGTCTTTATGAATTAATGGCTACTTGTAATTAAGAATTCTTTTCATAAATATTTAATAACATACTCTTAAATCTTAGTATTTACATTAAACTTATATAAACTCCTACACATACAATTAACTTGTAGGTTAAGTATAGATTTTCTTCATATATAATTCTATTGGTATTATAAATAGAATTGTATCTGAACTTGAACTAACACATGAAAATCTATGCTTCTATTCTTAACTATGTACATCTTCTAAACCCAAGAATTAATGATTACTCAATGTTGCAATCTTCCTATGCAAACTCTTACCTCTCTATTTCATATAAGGTGAAATTGTCCTTAATTCCAAGTCTTCTCTCTCTTCAACAAATACTAATTATAACTTAAATATAATATATCACTATTTATACATCTACTGCTCCTTCCTTTATTAAATAAATCTTATTTACAATTTCACCTGATAAATATACAATATCTCCCATTCTATAACTTCTTTATTCTAATATTTTATAAATTGAATAGATTGAATTCACATTCCAACCTTCAAAAATCTCTAAATTAGCAAAAAAACCCATTTCCTTCACAGATGATTTCTCTTAACCTATTCTCACTACATCTTTAAAATATTATCTTCTTATAAATGCAAAATGACATGGTTATAATGCCACAGCTGTAAAATCTCTTGGTCTATTATGTATTAAAGACATTTCACCAAATGATTAACCAGGTAATAAGATTTTAATTAAAACTAAATCAGATTATTAAGATTAGATTTTTTTTATTTAATAATCCTTAAATTTATTATTGTTAACAGCTTATCTAAACCTTAATTTAACCATCTCTAATAATTTAGTTGATGATGCTTTATCTTCCACAACATTAGGTTTAACGTATATTCCAACTTATCCTTAAAGAATTATATAAAATTTATCTCCAACTGAATCTATATTAATAATAGATGTATTTTATGTTGCATATTCATGTTCAAAATAATAACTAAAATTTAGATCATTTTGATCAGCAAAATATTTTTAGAAAAACTCAATCTTTCTCACCATCCTCTCAATTGGATATAAATCATCTTCACTTCTTTTTTCAAATGGTTTCTTTAATTATCTAATTAATTCCTAGAGAATTTTAAATTGTTACATCCTCCATCTTATATATTTATATATAATAATTTCTAATAATAAAATCAATAATTATATTTTTTTTTTGTTATATAATAAGTATAGAATTGTAGTATTGTAAAACCCTTTCAAAATTTTAATGAAATCAATATAATTATCAAAAAGTATAAATTAACTTTAAACTCTTCATAATAGTTACTAATAAATTATAAATAATATATAAATAACTTATTAATTAATTACTTATTAATTAATTACTTAATTTCTTCTTTCTTTTTATTAATTTATAATGATATTCCTCTATTTCTTATAATTCTAAGAATTTTCTCAATTTTATTAGAATCTATTTTTGTTATAATTCCCCATTTAAATTTTGATAGAATTTTATTATATCATTTATGATTAACTTTGATTATGTAGATTTAATTGAAATAGTTATTTTGATTAGAATAAACAATGTAGTTTATTCATTTATTAATAATAATATAAAAATTGATTATAATAAGTCATTATTCATAATTACTTTTTATTCCGAACAAAACTGAAACCACGTATCTTCTTAGCAATACTAAATTCTGAATTCATTAATGATACATCCTAACTAGCTATTGAAATTGATGATTAAATGAGTGATTCATTTTGTGAAAAAAGCTATGATTAAAATTTACTAATTTTCCATTACTCAACTACAAAAGAAAAACCTCTTCTTATTCTTTATGTAGCCATGGATATTGATTTCTATGTTTTTGGTTTCTTCAATTAGAAACTAAATCCTCTTATTTGTTTAGTGTTACTTAATATTGTAGAGTTTACCATTTATGTTATTTACAAATTATTAAAATTAATAACAACTTCGTTAACTATAAAAATTATGTTTATTTAAGTAAAAGCATATACAAATAATATTAACAAAAAAAGAATTAGTTCAATAATATCTCCATCCATATTAGAATTGTTAGCATGATCTTTGATGTCCCAAAAGTTAAGATGGTGGAGAAACAAATGAGGATCTTCTACTATACACATTCTAATCAACTTAATAGTTTCGTCCTACAGCAGGTCCTTCTGGTATTATTGTATCTGCCTTCTAGACATTGTAATATGGTGTAATATCATGAGTTAGATTGCTTTTAACTTAACCTAATAATTTCTCTTCATATTTTAATAATTATCGTATGAATCCAGGATTTGGACATACTAATGGTCTAACACTTTTTAAGTATATCAATGCTTCTTGTAAAGTCCAATCTTAAGAATACATAAGATAGGCTAACACTATAGTAGCAGATCTAGATTTTCCTGCCACACAATGTACAAGTACGTTGTGATTGTCATTCATGTGTTTTTAGATAAATTTATTGGTTTTATCAAAATATCCAGAGATATCACATTATGGACGATCATTAACTTGTAAAACCATTTGATCAGCATCTGAATTAGCTTGAAAATCTAGTAAATAAGTTAATAGAATGTTTACTTTGTTCTGTAGAGAAAGATATTATGGCTTTTACATCATAATTCTGATAATATTAAAATGCTTGAGCATCTCCTATATAGAGTTTACTATCAAAATCAAGTACACAATTAATGAAGTTAGTTGTATTTTGTGGATTTGAATAGACAGGATAATAGTAATTCATTTTACAAACAGATTTTAATTAATGATTTTTATTTTTCCGTTAAAAATTTATAACAAATATATATATATATGATAAGTATTTTGATATCATTTTTTTTTTTTAAAGAATCTATAATATCATTTTTTAAAGAATCTATAACAAGCATAGCTCAATCCAATTCCTAGACCGACTCCAAAAATCTTTTTAATAAATGATGATTATGGTTTAGTTTTTAAATCTTAATCAATTAATTATTTAGAATTGATAATTTCTATTGATTATTCTAATGGTGTTTGACAAGGTGCAACAATCATTTAATCATCAATAATTTTTCTAGTGCAATAATATTCATTAATTTCACCTAAATAATTCAATTCATCTTATAAATTGATATATTTTTAATTGCTAGAATTTTAAGATGAAAATGATGCTACTGATATATAACTTTACTTTTTCTTTTTAGTTCTCTCACAATTTAAACTTTTCTTAGATTAAAAAGGAACCTTTAAAACATGAATATCATCATCACTACTTTATTCTTCTTCTTCATAAAATCCACAATCTGTAGCAATTCTTTTTTCACATGCATAATCTAATTTATCATCAGCTTCTGTTCTAATTCTAGCTTATGGTAATATATCATTAGCCTTGAATCTTACACTACTTTAAAATCTTGGAGTACTAAATGTGCGATCACAAGTTACTAAATCATCACTTTATTCTAATTTAAGAGGTAAATTAATTTTGATTGTGTTAGATTGTTCTCTTAGATGTATCATTTATGATATTGCATTAAGAATTTCATGTTCTTATTATTCTTTACCTTAAAGTTTTGTATTTTCAATTTTTTCAATGATAGACTTTATTAATTCTAGAATAAATATTAATGTAGAATTACTAATATCATCAACTTAGATAGGGGATTGATTTGATTGATTCTAAGATTTCGATTAAACTATCATCTATCTTAAATCATGTATCAATTACAAAAGCTTAATTATTTTCTTTGTATTGTTTTACATTGATTAATTGAGTTAATTGATGTTGAGTATATTTTATTCATTTTATTTTTGCAACTTAATAATAATATGATAAGTATTACTTTCTCATATGTTTATTTTAATTATTAATTGAGAGAAGATTCCCAATCGATAATTTTATGGTTTTCATTAAATTCTGATTTCACTGTTTCCAATGTGTTTTCACATATTTCAAGACCTTCTGCTAATTCTATTAATTTCTACTATTTAGTATGAGGTTTATTTAATGATTATCTTTTCTCCAACTAAATTAATTCATATTGTTTATTGTCAATTTATTAAATGATCTATTCTTCTGACTATTATAATTATGTGAATTAAGTATGATATGTAAGTATCTTTTATTAAGACTAATCAATCTTGGTTGATAAATCTAACTGCTTAATCGTACTTAAATTAAGTTTAGTTAGGAGCATTTATTTATTATTCGAGTACTATTGAATGAATTCTTTGGAAAGTGTTTTGAGATCATTGTTAATTGGTCTGTATGTAGTGTAATAATTCAAATAATCGAGAATTTGTTGAGTTAGCAAACTTGAGCTACTATTCATTTATAATAAATTAATTTTTATTCGTTTTTATTAATGGGTTTGTTAGGATCACTAGTAGTGATAATTTTGACTTCCATTGTTGGAATAGTTTGGTACTTTGTACATTTGATAGCACAAGTAAGAAATAATAGCATTATTAATAGGGTTTTACAGTTCAATATAAAGATGAATAAGACTTTGTAAGTGATTAACTTAGAGGACTCTTAGGAGTAGATGATATTTAACCAAGTTCTTATAGGCCAACAGTAGAACCATAATATTTATCAGGAATTGTAGATTTAATAGAAACATCAATCAATGGATTGTGGTTAGCACAATTTTTATATATGATTCTTCTTTTATTTCTATTTTTTTTGGTTGTGGACATTTGGTTTATTGAATATCCATTCTCATTTATGTTCAATGCAATTATTGGTGCTATGACTGTAATGTTATTTTCATATTATGTCACTACGACAAATAGTAAATCTTTGACAAGAGCTTTGATACAAGTAAATAAATATTTACATAATATAAAGTCATAATTTTCAAAGGAAGAGAGTTTTGGATATATGTATTAATGTGGTTTTGCAATAGTAAGTTTATTGTTTAGTTTATTATTTGGTATGTATGTATTAATGTATTACTTTAATGTGGCTGTTTGGGGAGGAGATATGAAAAAAGGAGAATATGAAAAAGTATCAATATTAATGATTGGATTTTTGATGGGAATGATATTGGGAGGATTTATATATAGAGAAGGTATATCAATGATGTGTAGATCATTAAAGACTGCTTCATTTGGTTTAATAAGAGCTGATTTAAATTTAAGTGTTGGCAATAATAATATATCATAATTAACTAGATTAGCATATATGGTATCTTAATAAGCAGGAAATGCAATTGTCAATTATTTAGATACAGGATTTGTACTTGTATTTTTATGTTGTGCAATATCATAAATTGTTATTAATAGTTCTGAAATATTGGATAGTAAAAATAAAAGTGCTTTTATTATGGGACCTATTTATTTAATATGTATTGGATATTTGGGATCTATTATATGTTATTTTTTAAAAACTATGTGTACAGATTAAGAAACAGGATCATTTGCTGCTCTTAATGTTAGATGGTAAGTAATTATAGCTGCTTTGATTTCTTTTATTATTCATGTATCATTCCCATTTTCATTTCTTATTGATAAATTTACACTCAAAGGTGAAAATACTAAAGATATTGATTTTGAAAGTAAATCATCTATGAATGCTTGTTGGTGTTATTTGTTAGGATTAATATTTAATGTACTTCATATAAGTTTATTTGAATGGTATACATCTCATGGATGTCCTAATGTTAGAAATATGGTAAATTATTATGATCAAATAGGGATTAGCAACAAGTGATCGTATATTGCCAATGAATTTGATCTACTCAAATTATTTGGGAGATTTATTTTCTGCTATTCCAGCTATTTTAATGTTCCTATTGATATCAATAGTATATTCAATAGAAGGATTTGCTGGATTATTATTTGCAGCCTCTGGTTATATCTCTTTATTTATTATTTATGGTGTTATATTCTTTATAGGTTGTAATTCTTCTGATTCATATAAATTAACATGTTTTGCTCATTTCATATCAGATGTTTAAGGCAAAATATTTTAGATTTATTGGGAAGCTAAAAATTATATGGTATTCCTTAAAGCTACTAATGCAGGTACAACTTTCCTAATATCTATTGGAATTATTGGTGCTTAACTATATTAATATCCAACTGCATTGAATTCTTTGTTTATACATAATGAAGGATTTTTAGGATTGTTCATTGGTTTTAGTCTTATGTTTGTATGTAGAGGTATAAATATTTGGGGAATTATTAATGTTGCAAAAAGTTATGTAATAATGATATATTAATTAATAGTTTATATTTTAACCATCTGATGAAGCAGAAGGAAAACTAAATTATTTGAAAGATATAAGAATAATTGAATTTACTAAGTTCAAATATACTCATAGTATGTTGTATGTTGCTTATAATATATTGTTTATCACAATAATGATTTTGATGTTTGGATCAATTTTAGGACATGCTGGAAGTGTTGCCATTATGATTGGAGCTTGTATTGCTACATTCCTTATTTAATATACTGGATTAATAAAAGGTACAACTTTGGAAAACTCAAGAGTTTATAATGAAAGTATCATTTTGAATTAGAGTTTGTAGTTTAAGATAATAGAAAAGATCATCACTATTTGATGTATGTATCTGGAGATACATATGCTTGTGCCACTGAGGAAAGCAATGCTTGTCCTTTGATTCCCTATCTTATTTATGTTTTCTGTTTAATAATTTCATGTCAAAAACATTTTGCAAAAGCAGAAAAATGAAATGATATTCAATATACAATATTCAAAATAATAATTAGTTTTCTATCATAATTTCTTATCAGTAGTTAATTCTACACATTAATATAAATCAAATAAATATCAAAATATAATAGCTCATATGAGCTGTATTGGATAAGCACAACAATAAATGAGTTAGAAACTCATCAAAACTGATGGTGATGATTCAGATACTCCAATCCCTGAATCTGATAAAGATAATCTCGGATAAATATTGAACACTGAAGAAAGTAAGGGTAAACCCATAAAAACCCTTAGATTTAGTTTACAAAATCAAGTATGGATATTTGATAGATCCTCAAAAAGAAATTAATCCTACAAATCACCTTCTCCATTAGCTAGAAATTCTTCACCATCAATACTTAAAAATAAAAATAAACCATAAGTAACTAAATAATGAAATATTTTATTAAATTAATTCATGAATAATTATAACAAAATTACCATTTCCAATTTATCATGTTGTGAAACTTTTATAATTTAACTGTTATTATACTAAAATATTTAAACTTGCATAAAATAAAATAAATGATTCTCTATTTGTTTACTTAGGCACAATAAGGTTCCTTCTATTTAATCAAAATAACTAAACACAATTTTCATTGATAAAAGATATTAAAAAAATCAAAAATACATTCTATATTCAGATGGTCGGTCACTGAATTCTCAAAAATTTTAAATATTGATGACTTACTTATCATTACTATTTTTAGGACAGATTAATAATAACTAATGAATTATTCAAATCAGTTCTAACATTTATTTGTTATTAATATTTATCCAATTGAGTAACTAATAAGAAAAAGTATAATTAATCATAATTTAATATTAATTTAAAGTATTTTTAATATATATTTATTACACTTTTGTAAATTATTATAAATGAATAATTATTGAAAAATCAATAAAAAACATAGGATAGTAGAAAAAAAGAAATTATTCTTATAAATGAATTCAATACTTAATTTGAATTTACAAGAATGATAAACTTTAAATTATGTATTGTTGTTTGTTAACCAATTCTCTATCTTTCTTTCTTCACTATTAATTTCCAAAATAAATAAATTATTATTAATAACATATTATAATCAATTACATTTTTTTACTTGCTTTCTCTACAATAATTATTATTCGATTGACATTCCTACTTATTCTTTTTTATCCTTATGTCTCTTAAATATTGTTGATGCCTAAAAGTCTGCTCTAAATTCATTCTATATTTATTATAAATTTATACTTTATGGAGTGTTAATAAACATTAAGCCAATATCTATGGTTATAACTTCTCTTTCAATTATTCCCATAACAAATCAACCTTTCCTGCTTCACTCTAAATTAATTTAATCTCCTTTTTTATCTTCTTAAACGAACTTTTTTCATATATAAATCAACACTAATACTCATGCATATTCTATTTTGCTGTTCCCAATTTTTATTTAATTTTTTCATTATTTCCAAAGTCATCATTCTTTGTATCAATTTTATTAAAGACATCTCTCAAATAATCTGTGTAATTTCTACAATATATTTCAATTATATACCTAGAATTTTATGAAAAGAAATCTTTATCATCTAATATACTAAATAAATATTTTGTCTATAAAGGTAAACAAACATCTAATATTGAATATGAATATGATTTTGCAGCATCTATTCTCTCTTATTTATTAGATGATGTTCTATATTTCAATGCATCCAATAATATTTCAATTTCTGTTGCATCTTTACCTTAATTAATGCAATCTTCTAATCTCTCAAATAATTTCTATTATTATTCTAAGAATTATTAAAACTATCCATTATTTATTTAATAATATTACCTTATCTTATTATTTATTGTAATTTTCAATTGATTTTGATAAATTATTACATTATTCTCTAAGTTTGTCATTTTCATCCTATAACTCTTAAACTCTTGTCTCTAATAACTCAAAATATATTTTTTTTCTTGCTCTTGAATTTCTGGCTGATTCTCTGTTCTTCACTTATTTTAAACGACTAGGATCCATATTTCCATCATTAATAGAATCTGGATTTTCTGATGATGACTAATCACTATGTTCCTAATTCATTTATAATTGTTATTCATTTTTTCTTTCCAATTTCTATTAACTCCTTCTAAAAAAGAATCAAAATATTTCAATACGATTGTCTAGCTTTTGTTGTTATCAATAATTGCCCATTATTTTCTTTTTTCACTAAATTTTAAATTTTATTTGTGTATGTACTCTTAGTTTAACCTAGATGCAAAATAATCTATGATTGTAATGAATCTTTTAAATTTTTTTATTCTTCTTTTGTATATTTTTCTATATTTAAACAAAAAATGTACTTGATCTTCTTCTTCTTTGATGATTTTGACTTGCATCTATAGAGTTATCACCATCACTTCCACTTCTAGGTTAGGCTTCAATAGAGCTATCATTCTTTATTTTAAGCCTATCCATTTTAATTTCTTCAAATTGCATCTAATTGGGTATTAAATTACTAATCCCATTGTCATCTTCTTCAAAAATTTATATTTTTGGAAATTGTTATCGTTTTTATTACTAATTGTTCAAAAATGAATCTGGTATTCCAGAAAAATCAATTTAATTAGCATTCACATCATATGATCTATATAAAATATCTAATTGAATTACTCATTGAAATAATATTGCTCACTTATTATAGGATCACACATAAATTATTAGTTTTAAAATATATATATATATCATTAATCAATTATTTTTTTTTACATATTATCTTAAATTTGAAGGCCGTTAACAGTTTGAATCATTTTAACACTATGAATTATTTTCAAATTGTTATACTTATGAGTTTTGTTTGAAATATTTACAATCACTAAATAAATTACTGTTATCGAAAACTGATCTATGTTAATTCTATAATTTTTCTATCTATACACTTACTTAATAAATTATCAAAAGCAAAGATCTTAATTAAAATGGTTCTAAATTCTCATAAATAGATTTCCAAATTGTATTCACTTTTGATGTTTCATTAATTATCGTCTTTACTGAAGTATAAAGATTATTTATACAACTAAATTAATGAAAATTAATGATTACCTTGTGATACTTTTTTTCACACAATTTAATTTCTCTTTGTGCTTTCTTATTTTCTTAAATTACTCTTACTTAATATCCATTAATTAAAATGTTTCTTTAGTCCATTCAAGATAAGATCTAATATTTAATTTGAAAATAATACCCTTAAAAATCAGATAATAAATCTTTATTTTGATCATAACTATAAACAATATATTTTAATTCTATAGGTAACAAAATCTATAATAGATTCTCTATATATTAATTTCCAACTGTTTTCTTTTCAATATTTAATTAACATTCTTTTAATTATTCTAATACAAATTTAGTTGTTTCTTAATCTTCATCTTTGATTTAACAAATCTCTAATTACTCTATTAATTTTTTCTAGATCTCCAATTTGTATTAATACTATAACATTTTTTTTAATTATTACATCTTCTTAACATTCTCTATATTATTATATTTATTTCGCCTAATTTTAACAAAGTTCATTCAATCTATCAATTTCATCTTGTAAATCCTTTACTTAATTTTCCAACAACTCAAAATAAATCCTCTTTCTAGCTCTAGAATTTCGAGCTGCAACTCTATTCCTTGCTAATCTGTCTTCAGACATTTCACCTCCTGATTATAAAAAACTCTTTTATTCTGATTAATCTGAAGTTTCAATAAGTTATTAAGATGATTTTCTTTTAATCTTCTATTAACTCTTCCTTTCATATTAAATATAATTAATATTACGAAACTCGATTAGATTTTGGGTTAGTTAAAATCTTTTTATCAACCAATTAACTGATTTTGCTTGTGTAGAGACTTTTAGCATAATGTACATTAAAAAGTTCCTAGTTACTCTCCACAATTTTTTTGTTTAATTGTTATCTAGTTCTAGGCCTTTTTAAATATTGCTTGTTCAAAGAATTATTATCATCAGTGTGGCTCCAAGATGTTGCTCTTCCATCACTGTGAACTGATTAAATTTGCAGTTTTTCAAAACCTAAATCTTCTAAAATTGCTTCCCCATTATCAAAAGGTTGGTCTGATTAGGGTAAATCAGAACAAGAATCATCGAATACTCTAATCACAGGAAGCTCCTTCCTATTTGATTGAGAAGATTAAAAATATTTCTCCACATCTCCCATCAACTCATTTTCTTAATTAACTATAGCATATTAAGAATTAAGAACCTAAAATATGTGGTTTTTCTGATTCCATCTCAAGATATCTATCCATAATATTATTAATAATATATAATCTTTTATTTATGATTTTGGCAACACTTTAATATAAAATTCATTAAAATTCATTCTGTTTTTACATTATATTTCACTTTTTTAAGTGTAAACTTTACTTCTATTTTTACATTATTAGAAAGTAAATTATTTAAACATTTTATAGAAATTGATCTAATATTTATGATTATTCAATAATATAAAGTTCTCATTTTTATATACTAGATATGATTTTTAATTTGATAATTTAGCTGTCATGAGAAAAAATACTGAATCAGTTTAAATTATTTTAAATTAAGGAGAAATAAACAATAACTTGGAGTTATCCTTAAACTTTTTAATAGTACATCTTTAATCTTATAGTTTATTCAAAGCATCTTGGAGTATTAAAAATGTCCAATTAAAAAAATTGAGGGAATCAAATCTAGTTAATTCTATAATTTCCTTTATTTCACATTCTAATGTTAAATATAGGAAATTTCATTTAGTTTAAAAAGAACTTATTGCCATTTATACATTTAAGATATATCAGAAGAGAATATCATTAATAATATTATTTGTTAAATATTAATTTAATTATGTTAAATTCATTATTATTATTAAGTTCATTAAAAATTAAATAAAAATAACAAGCCTGTTATGGATAAAAAGAAAGTTATATAATCAAATTAAATGGAAATTTAAATAGATTAATTATTAAAAGACTACTATTGAGCAATTACAAAGAGTATATGGAGGAAATGCTAGTATTTTTTCGATAGTTAAAACAATACTTCATTTAAATCTAATACTGCTTTCATTTATAGATATAAATAAAATCAAAAAAATAATATTTATTTCATTCTAATTATCAGTTTAAAAAAGCATTGATGAAATTTAATGGAATTCCATGAAATAACTATAAAAAATTAGAATGATCTTTTAACATAGAGCTAGATCCTTTAATATATAAAGTATCAACTTCATACAATAAGGAATAATAAGATTGAATAAGAGATATCCAATTCTTTGTTCATGTTTAAACTTTTCAGAACTTTTTAAATTAAGGACCAGGTAATCAATTGAAAAATCTTAATGAAAAAGAATATTATATTTTTTGAGAATACTGATTTAATGTTATTATTAATTAAATTATAATGGGAGTATGTTAAACAACTAAAATGAAGGATGGTCAATAAAATAAGAAAATTGACATCTCTTAAAATGCTAGTTAAGTGATATTGGATTAATATCCTATGCCAAAACCTAAATTAGGTATAGGATTGCCATGCATGATTAAATTCTTTGATCAAATTAAAATCATTGAAGTAACTGAATCAATGGCTTATAATTTTATTGTTAGATTAGGAGTCAATTAGCAAAAGTAAGTTTCAAAAGATTAGGATTATTAATGTGTATATTTATACTCTGAAAAAGCGAATATTGATTTTTTTGAATGTGGATTCACACCAATTGATGTTAGCAGACCTGATAAAATAATTGAAGATAAAAAGCAATATAAATTTCTATTTGACTTTAAAAATCTCTGGGTGTTTAGAGACTATGGAGAGGAAGTAGAATAAGTATTAAATATATTCAAGGAAATTAATGTGAAGGTCAAATAAATATATCTCTTCACTAAACCTCTGAATCATTTTATTGATCATTATCAAATGCTTGGCTAAATAAGCATCTTAAATAGTTACTATCCGTTATTATTATTTGATTACAAAGATGTCTCTGATGCAACCAAAAGAGGAGATGATACTTTTAGAATCTACTTACATAGCTAAGAAGCTTTTGAATTACTAATATAATAGAACAAAATCAGTCTTTATAATAGAAACTTATAAATTAGAAATCTTATCTTCCTTTATCAAATTGTAAATTTTAGTGAAAAATTAGAAGAAAATTAATACAAAGTAGCATGTTACAATTTAACATAATAACCTTCTGGATAAATAAACAAATAAAAATTAATTAAGGAATTGATACCATAATTGCAAAATTTATAATAAATGGGTAGCAATGTTGTTTTAATCTATTCGAGTAAAGAACCATAAGGAATAAAAACTGCCAGATTGGCTATTGAATAATATTTGGCAAGAGGATTGTTAATATATCCAGAAGACATCAAAAAATATAATGAATAATTAAAATCACTTTAAATTACACCTGAATAATTAATCTAATAACAAAAATAGCAAGACAATAATAAGATAAATTAATAACAATAAGAAATAATACAACTGAGTAGAGAATAAGAAATTATCAACATCTACGAAAGTTGGTTCAAAAAAATTAAATCTCAAATATTATTATAGAGCTCCCATAATCTGTTATTAAAATTAATAACAAACATTACCGAATACCCTAATGAGGAGAAATTTAGAACTATTTAAAAATCAAATAAGACTATGAATCTCAACATACTATAATATGAAGAAGGATAATAGATTTTATAATTAATTGGATTTAGGGAGGGTGAAACAGATTACAAAAACATATTTGAAATAGGTTAATTAAAATTGGCAAGAGCTGATATTGAAATTGCTTGGAAAAAACAATTAGAAAAATCTTTAAAATGAATTAATCAATAAACAAATGATATATATTATTAATATTATAATATAATTTAATTAAATATATAAACTTTTTTAATCTCATAATGTGAAAATCTATTACTTTAATATTTTTCAAATAAAAATAATTTACTAATGAATGAAGATTAGACAAAGATAGAGATCGAAGAAGATTCAAATAGTCTTGTCCCTATCTTATTGATTTTGCTATTATTAATTATCTAATTCATTTAACGCTGGTCTAAGAAACCTTAAATATAAAAATAATACTTAGTTGAAAATGATGAACATGAATTACAAGAAAATTTGTTAAATAAAGATCAATAAAAAAAATAAGATAATTAGTGTTAAAAAAATAATTATTCCGTATTCAATGAAAAATAGAATAATTAGAATGAAATTTTTCTAAAATTTAAAGAACTTTAAGAATAAATAAAAGTTTAATATGAACCTTAAATTTATAACTAAATTTAGAAACCCTAGTAATTAATTTGCAATAATTCAATAAATAAAATAATGGAAATTTATTAAAACTCTTCTTAATTACGTTTTGTAGAAGATGAATATAAATATTATATTAGACAATTTTAGGAGAAATCAGATCTAAAAAGAAATTATGGCCTTACATTTTAAGCAAGTTTAAAGTTATACAAATATTGTAATGCATTTAGAGAAGTGAGAGGAGATGGAAATTGTTTTTATACTGCTTTTGGATATTAATTCTTATGTATTTTATTATTTGAATATACATTTGATTAATTTTAAGAATTCATAGATAAAATTAGAAAAAGTGATTTACCTATGAAAATATTTGTTACTTGCAAAGATTTGAAGATTGATGATAAATAATTAGAAAAATAACTATTAGAAGAATTTTTAAATAGATTAACTAAATTAAAATAAATTGATGATATAACTTAAAGATAAGATTCATTTAATACTTAATTTGCTGCTTATGAAAAATAATCAGAAGAAATTGATGGTTGTTTATATGGACTATCAACCATATTTTTTAGAAATTATTCTAATTACATTGTTGATTTGAGCATTAATAAAGATGCAGTTTTTGATAGAGACAATTTATTCAAATGGGAAGAAGAATGCAATAGCAATGAAGTTGTTATTGCTGAATTAGCTAAGCAATTAAATGTGTAATTATATATTATTTATTATAAGATTTGTTTAGTTAATATTTTTTTAAGATAAAGACAATTTTGTAGTTAATGAATATGAAAAAGACAAGCAACATAAAATTATCTTATTAATAAAGCCTGGACATTATAATATTGGCTACTTAAAAAAAGATTAATAATGATTAAAATTTTATTTATTAAAGATAATTCTATATGGAGTATAGATTTAAACCTTTCCTTATGAAAGATTAAATATCTTTTTAATATAAAAAACATTTTCATTAAATGATAGATATTTACATACCACATTTTGGAGTCTTTTTAGTCTATGATTCATACTTAGGATTTAAGCTTTTTCAAATTATTCTTTATCTAAAGTAAAATTGTTAATTAAACTTTTTACATTCGATTTTTTATAATTCACTTATTTATTACAATTAATTATTTTTGATTATTTTATTTAAAAATTTAATTTTTAAACCGCTTATATGCTTTGGATTAACGCTCTAATTAAACTGCCTCATTAATCAAAAAGTGTCTCTGATTCCAATTTTCCCACTCTTTTCCTTGATTTAACTCATTATATTGTTAAATTATTCTCTTAGTATCCATCTTTTGGAATTGTTATCAAAGAAAATAATTAATCACAAATTATTCTAGACAAATTGTCAATCAAACAGAGACTAGCATACATGAATCGTTATAAATGCAAATTCAGTCTCAGGCTGTTGTTTCTGAATAAAAATTACTTCAAAGTTCATCACACTTTTTTTATAGAATTGAATTGTGTGAACATGATTGAAAAATAGAAAGCAAGCTGAGCCCAAAAGTTATTTAATTTGTTGCTCTTTTGCACAAGACCATTATATTTTTAATTCTAAAATAAACTTATATATATATTATTATTATAATTATCAATTTAACATAAATAAATGATGAAAATCAAATGACAAAATTGTTTGTTTAATCAATTTAATTTCTTAATCGCTGCTCAAAATTCCCTAAATAAAATAATAATTTGGATATATGGAAACTCTAATGATAGTTTTATTATGTGTGCATAGGATAATGGACATTAGTGGATTTTAAATATTTTAATGTAATGCTTGAACGATTAATTAAAATTTTGCTGGAAGATATTTTATAAGATTATATGTTTATACCGAATATATAAAGCAATTCTTTAAACTCAAAATTTTTGCTTAGAAAATTCATGATATTTAATTTAGTTCCTTATTTGATTAATATTTCTGTTACATTTAGAAAATAAAATGGGGGAATAAAAAATCTATAATTTAATTAGGCAAAAAGGTGGAAACCACAAAATTTTTTTGAAACTACTTAATTAAATACTTTTCAGTTTATTAAAACATATTTTACATCTTTAAGTCAATATTGATGGATTAAAGTAAATAATATGAGGAAGAATACATTTCTACCAAAGTTAAAATTTAAATTTCCAATTACAGACATTTGAGATCCAAAGAAATTAGGAAATTAGGTAATTTTTTGTTTACTTAAGTTATTTTAAATTTGTTATAGAACTTTACCATTTTTAGAAATTCAAATCCCTAGAGATTTATAATTTTAAACTAAAGCAAAGTCATAAAACATTAGATTTATTTTTAGTTTTGGAGTATGGAACATAAAAATTCTACATTTGTGCTTATTTATTTTTACAATTAAATTTCAGGGACAATTAACTGAGTTAATATAAATATAACTTAGTATCTTTATGGTCTATAATAGTAACAATATCATCAGCAAAGGTAGAGCTTATATAATAAATTAAAAAAATTTCATATAATTAAATTAAGAACTCTTCTAAGTAAATATTATATAAAGCAGATGATAATGGAGAGGCTTCTAGCAAACCATGGGTAAAATAATATATTTCATTATTAAGTGGGCTTTGTAATGTATATAGGAATGCAATTTTAACGATAAAATTATAAAAGCAAGTGAAATCAGAAAAATTAGAAGATGCCAAGTCATATGATTAATTAAGTTTATAAAAATAGTATTACTGAGATCTTTTTATAAGAAATAAAACTTCAAATGTAGTGAGTGGTGCATGATTTGATAGTGTATTGAATTAATATTCTGAACTAAATTAATATTTTGGAAGAATCAAAATGATCAGTTCTACTTTAAACTAGTTTTTTAAATTTATAACTTTAGAAATTCATTTATTGTTTAGATATTACTTCATAAAAAATATCATAAGGATTATTTTTATGATTTAAGTCTTCTAATATAAATATTCTTTAGTTAGGGCTTCATTCGAAAAATGAATTCTGAAAACCGTATCTTACAATATCCCTTTGCTTTTCTAAAATTTTCTCTGTTGTTAAAATAAAAGTTAAAGATAAATAAATCACAATATTCATTTCTACCATTAATAAAAACAAAATCAAAAGGTAATTAATTGGCAATTTTAATATATCACCTCAATTATTGGAGGTAAAACTATAATGTATCCCAGTAATAATTCCACTTGAATTCTTTAATTATAAATTATGATAGTGAATTAAATTATAGCTAGGGAGGAGTTTAATTAGCCTTGTCTACAATCTTATAAACAAAATATATGAGAAGCATATTATTTAACTAATTTTAGTATTTATTATTTAATGGATGGCACATTCCATGACACAATCTTGATTTAACAGACTGTGTTAAGCTTGGACACTATTGGTTCATATTGGCAGGTTAGAATAATAATTTCTATCTCTTATACCTGGTAGGGTTTTAGTTGAAACTGCATTCATGTCTTTATAGAATTTAACCTTATAAATTATGCGAACTATTTTATGGGATTTTATTTTTATGTTATTTTTTCATATGTATTTTATAATCCTAAAGGCTAAAAAACTAATTCTTACAAGAAATGAACTTTCCACTAAATTATTGAATAATCTCTTCATCGCTATTAGTATTTTTAATTTCAGATTGAAAATTATTATTCACTTAAATTTAATTGTTTCTTTGAATTGTAGAAAAAGATACTTTCTTTAAACAATTATGCATATATTCTATTAATTTTTCTTAAATTTAATGCATTTGATTTGCTATTTCTTAATGTGTTGACTATTACACTGAAGCTTAAATTTTTGGTAGACTTTGTTAAAATACGCTTTTAAAATTAGATTTCTTCACTGATTAGTTTAATTTAAAATCTTTTGAAAATATAGTCTTAGGCATGTATCTTGATGAATCTTTGGATTTAACCAATTATTATTATTTATTAGAGTTTTTTATGCATAATAGTGAATATTTATGAATTTTTTTGAAACAGAAAATATTGTTTATATTTTTGTAATAAACTAAACTAAAAGTTTTTCTGCCATAAATGTTAACATATTTGGATAGAAAAACCACAATCCATCAATTTGATTCATTTATCATCATTATTATCAATTGCAACTGATTTAATTACTCTATGAAAATCAAATAATTAGAATGATTCTTATTAAATCATTAAAGTATTTTATTTATTAAAAGGTTTATAAATTTAATGGAATTGCCATAATTTTATTCTTAGAGCTGAATAGAATTCTCACAACTATTCGTTTTTGTTAATTCCATAAAATATTGGGATGTAGATTCTTTCCATTAGATTATGACCTCATTTATTAATTCATTCAAGCATATTTTAAATTAGTTATTTATAAAATGGATCTTAGACTACTAAATTATTAATCTTTTAGCCATATATATTTTTCTATATTGCATCTTATTTTAAATAAATTATTCAATATATAGGGTATTTGATTTATATTTAATGTTATTCACTTAAAAAATTTTTTTTAAATATTAATTTTAATATAAGATATATATTGCAATTTGGAAAATACATAAAATAGATATTTTTTCAATTTCTTAATTCAAAATTTTGGCAGTATTTATGGCTTAAATGCTAATTTTATTATCATCCCAGGTAATTTTTTCTTCATGAAAATTTCATGAAGAAGTACTTATAAAAAAATTAATGGAAATTTTGAGAGGTAACAATAAGTTATAGAAATTAAGTTTTGGTTTTTTCTCTGTTTTTACTATGATATTAATTTCAATCTGATTTACATTTTTGTTACATCTTTATCGTTTTAAATTTGCATAAAAAACTCATTTAATATTGTATTGTCATTTACCATATAATCGTATCATATTTATGCTTTTAAGTTTATCTGTAAACATCATCATTGAAACTTATATTATATTATTAAATTTAACAGAGTTGATACTTTAAATTTTTATTAAATTCTCCTTTCTAGGAAAATATTTTTGAGAATTTTAGAGACAAAATAATTTATGAAAGTTTTTGTTTAATTTTTATGGTGAAAAACAATTCCATAATTAAAGATTACTGCCACTCTCATTATTCACTTTATTAATTTAAAAAGTTGGTAAAGTTTTAATTACTAAAAACTCTTAAGTTAATTAAGAACAATTTTATCAAAATAAGAAGTTATATTAAAATACTTTATTTTTTTTTTTTTTAGAAGCCCTATTAAATTTTGATTTGATTATCTTTAATTTTCTATAAATCATCAAATATTTCTTATTTAAAGCAAACCATCAAGTTTATTAGATTAATTATTAAACCAAAATAAAGAATAGTTTCTTGTAAAAATTAAATATTATTCTCTCTTAATGAATGCTGTTTGATTTCTTCTAAAGTAAATATACAGTAATTTGATATTATTCTACAAAAAGATTTCAAAATTGCAAATAGAGAGAATCTAGAGATTAATGTTATGAAAGAACATTTGTTCCAAAAAGTTATTGCTAAAGATTTATTTACTCATATATCTAATTATTTTTGTAATTTGAGAGGTGTGAAATATCTAATTTGTTTTTATAAGTTTCACATAATTTGAAATTGATAATTTAATTAGTTATAAATTTCATTATTTATTTCTTATAGAATTAAGTTAAATGGAATTTTATTGGTGGATTATCATAGCTATAGTAATTATAGTAATTGTGATTCTTGGTATTATTATAAAATAAAAATGTGTTGCAAGCAAGCTTTCAGAAAGTAATAAAGAATCCAATAAAGAATAGTTAATAAAAAAGTAAGGTGAAATGAAAATTATTAGGGATGATTAAAAAATTAATTCATTGAACAATAATCCTTTCAATCAAAGCTTATAAAAATAAGTTTTAGAGAATCCTCCTTACGTTTAAGTAGAACCACCCAAGATTTAAAATAATAGAAATGCAGGAAAAGAATAATAGAATCAATATAAATTTTAATACTAAAATAATTAACCTTAAGATGATTATACTAAAATTCCATCAAATAATCCTTAAAATGTTAATTATGAAAAGAATGAAAATTAAGTAATAGTGCAATAAGAAAAGTAAAATTAGAAAGAAATATCTAACCTCTCCAAAAACTAGGAAAATAAGTAAGATCAGAAGCCATAATATACTAATATTTAAGAGAATAATACAAAAAAATATATCTAAGATCACATAGCAATATAAAATAATAATTAAATTGATGAAAAGTAATAAAATAGTTTTTAACCACTAATTTAATAAAGTAATGAGGATGTCGAATTAAAAAATAATCAAGATAATGAGTTAATTTCTTAAAAATAGAACATTAAAAATGAGAATTAATATAATCTATTAAATTATGAATAATAAAGATCATAAAATAAAGACTTTGAATAAGATTAAGTGATATAAAATAATTTAGAATAATAATAAAAAAATAATAAAGTAAATGGTTAGCAGATTAATCAAAATAATAATAGTTTTAAATTTTTTTCTAACTCTACATTTAAAAACAAACTTATTTTCGACTGTATTATTGGTGATGTTAAATCTGTAAGTTAAAATAAAAATAATAATTAAGATGAGAAGATTAAGAAAAGTAATTAAAATTAAGAGTAAGTTGTAATAGATAATAAGGGATTGTTACTTCTATAAAATATAATAGATGAAACTTCTAAAAAAAGATAAATAGCAGATGAATTCAAACCTTACATAAGACAATTGTAGGAGAAATCAGATCTAAAAAGAAATTATGGCCTTACATTAATAGCAAGTTCAAAGTTATACTAATATTGTAATGCATTTAGAGAAGTGAGAGGAGATGGAAATTGTTTTTATACTGCTTTTGGATATTAATTCTTATGTATTTTATTATTTGAATATACATTTGATTAATTTTAAGAATTCATAGATAAAATTAGAAAAAGTGATTTACCTATGAAAATATTTGTTACTGACAAAGATTTGAAGATTGATGATAAATAATTAGAAAAATAACTATTAGAAGAATTTTTAAATAGATTAACTAAATTAAAATAAATTGATGATATAACTTAAAGATAAGATTCATTTAATACTTAATTTGCTGCTTATGAAAAATAATCAGAAGAAATTGATGGTTGNAAATATTTCTTATTTAAAGCAAACCATCAAGTTTATTAGATTAATTATTAAACCAAAATAAAGAATAGTTTCTTGTAAAAATTAAATATTATTCTCTCTTAATGAATGCTGTTTGATTTCTTCTAAAGTAAATATACAGTAATTTGATATTATTCTACAAAAAGATTTCAAAATTGCAAATAGAGAGAATCTAGAGATTAATGTTATGAAAGAACATTTGTTCCAAAAAGTTATTGCTAAAGATTTATTTACTCATATATCTAATTATTTTTGTAATTTGAGAGGTGTGAAATATCTAATTTGTTTTTATAAGTTTCACATAATTTGAAATTGATAATTTAATTAGTTATAAATTTCATTATTTATTTCTTATAGAATTAAGTTAAATGGAATTTTATTGGTGGATTATCATAGCTATAGTAATTATAGTAATTGTGATTCTTGGTATTATTATAAAATAAAAATGTGTTGCAAGCAAGCTTTCAGAAAGTAATAAAGAATCCAATAAAGAATAGTTAATAAAAAAGTAAGGTGAAATGAAAATTATTAGGGATGATTAAAAAATTAATTCATTGAACAATAATCCTTTCAATCAAAGCTTATAAAAATAAGTTTTAGAGAATCCTCCTTACGTTTAAGTAGAACCACCCAAGATTTAAAATAATAGAAATGCAGGAAAAGAATAATAGAATCAATATAAATTTTAATACTAAAATAATTAACCTTAAGATGATTATACTAAAATTCCATCAAATAATCCTTAAAATGTTAATTATGAAAAGAATGAAAATTAAGTAATAGTGCAATAAGAAAAGTAAAATTAGAAAGAAATATCTAACCTCTCCAAAAACTAGGAAAATAAGTAAGATCAGAAGCCATAATATACTAATATTTAAGAGAATAATACAAAAAAATATATCTAAGATCACATAGCAATATAAAATAATAATTAAATTGATGAAAAGTAATAAAATAGTTTTTAACCACTAATTTAATAAAGTAATGAGGATGTCGAATTAAAAAATAATCAAGATAATGAGTTAATTTCTTAAAAATAGAACATTAAAAATGAGAATTAATATAATCTATTAAATTATGAATAATAAAGATCATAAAATAAAGACTTTGAATAAGATTAAGTGATATAAAATAATTTAGAATAATAATAAAAAAATAATAAAGTAAATGGTTAGCAGATTAATCAAAATAATAATAGTTTTAAATTTTTTTCTAACTCTACATTTAAAAACAAACTTATTTTCGACTGTATTATTGGTGATGTTAAATCTGTAAGTTAAAATAAAAATAATAATTAAGATGAGAAGATTAAGAAAAGTAATTAAAATTAAGAGTAAGTTGTAATAGATAATAAGGGATTGTTACTTCTATAAAATATAATAGATGAAACTTCTCAAAAAAGATAAATAGCAGATGAATTCAAACCTTACATAAGACAATTGTAGGAGAAATCAGATCTAAAAAGAAATTATGGCCTTACATTAATAGCAAGTTCAAAGTTATACTAATATTGTAATGCATTTAGAGAAGTGAGAGGAGATGGAAATTGTTTTTATACTGCTTTTGGATATTAATTCTTATGTATTTTATTATTTGAATATACATTTGATTAATTTTAAGAATTCATAGATAAAATTAGAAAAAGTGATTTACCTATGAAAATATTTGTTACTGACAAAGATTTGAAGATTGATGATAAATAATTAGAAAAATAACTATTAGAAGAATTTTTAAATAGATTAACTAAATTAAAATAAATTGATGATATAACTTAAAGATAAGATTCATTTAATACTTAATTTGCTGCTTATGAAAAATAATCAGAAGAAATTGATGGTTATTTATATGGACTATCGACAATATTTTTTAGAAATTATTCTAATTAAATTGTTGATTTGAGCATTAATAAAGATGCAGTTTTTGATAGAGAAAAGTTGTTGAAATGGGAAGAAGAATGCAATAGCAATGAAGTTGTTATTGCTGAATTAGCTAAGCAATTAAATGTGTAATTATATATTATTTATTATAAGATTTGTTTAGTTAATATTTTTTTAAGATAAAGACAATTTTGTAGTTAATGAATATGAAAAAGACAAGCAACATAAAATTATCTTATTAATAAAGCCTGGACATTATAATATTGGCTATTTTAAACCTGAAAGTGAAAATAAAAATAATAATTAAGATGAGTAGATTAAGAAAAGTAATTAAAATTAAGAGTAAGTTGTAATAGAAATACATAAATCTGATAATAATGAGATTGATGGATAAACAATTTAATAAAGTATTATTGGTGATGTTGAATCTGTAAGTGAAAATAAAAATAATAATTAAGATGAGCAGAGTAATCCAAGAAATTAAAATTAAGAATAAGTGGTAATAGATATTCCATAACAAGTAATAAATTAACCTAATAGCAAGATTGATGGATTATCACTTTTATAAAATATAATAAATGAAACTTCTTAATAAAGACAAGTGTTAGATGAATATAAATATTATATTAGACGATTTTAGGATAAATCAGATCTAAAAAAAAATTATGGCCTTACATTAAAAGCAAGTTCAAAGTTATACTAATATTGTAATGCATTTAGAGAAGTGAGAGGAGATGGAAATTGTTTTTATACTGCTTTTGGATATTAATTCTTATGTATTTTATTATTTGAATATACATTTGATTAATTTTAAGAATTCATAGATAAAATTAGAAAAAGTGATTTACCTATGAAAATATTTGTTACTGACAAAGATTTGAAGATTGATGATAAATATTTAGAAAAATAACTATTAGAAGAATTTTTAAATAGATTAACTAAATTAAAATAAATTGATGATATAACTTAAAGATAAGAATAATTTAATACTTAATTTGCTGCTTATGAAAAATAATCAGAAGAAATTGATGGTTGTTTATATGGACTATCGACAATATTTTTTAGAAATTATTCTAATTACATTGTTGAATTGAGCATTAATAAAGATGCAGTTTTTGATAGAGAAAAGTTGTTGAAATGGGAAGAAGAATGCAATAGCAATGAAGTTGTTATTGCTGAATTAGCTAAGCAATTAAATGTGTAATTATATATTATTTATTATAAGATTCGTTTAGTTAATATTTTTTAAAGATTTAGACAATTTTGTAGTTAATGAATATGAAAAAGACAAGCAACATAAAATTATCTTATTAATAAAGCCTGGACATTATAATATTGGCTATTTTAAACCTGAAAGTGAAAATAAAAATAATAATTAAGATGAGTAGATTAAGAAAAGTAATTAAAATTAAGAGTAAGTTGTAATAGAAATACATAAATCTGATAATAATGAGATTGATGGATAAACAATTTAATAAAGTATTATTGGTGATGTTGAATCTGTAAGTGAAAATAAAAATAATAATTAAGATGAGCAGAGTAATCCAAGAAATTAAAATTAAGAATAAGTGGTAATAGATATTCCATAACAAGTAATAAATTAACCTAATAGCAAGATTGATGGATTATCACTTTTATAAAATATAATAAATGAAACTTCTTAATAAAGACAAGTGTTAGATGAATATAAATATTATATTAGACGATTTTAGGATAAATCAGATCTAAAAAAAAATTATGGCCTTACATTAAAAGCAAGTTCAAAGTTATACTAATATTGTAATGCATTTAGAGAAGTGAGAGGAGATGGAAATTGTTTTTATACTGCTTTTGGATATTAATTCTTATGTATTTTATTATTTGAATATACATTTGATTAATTTTAAGAATTCATAGATAAAATTAGAAAAAGTGATTTACCTATGAAAATATTTGTTACTGACAAAGATTTGAAGATTGATGATAAATAATTAGAAAAATAACTATTAGAAGAATTTTTAAATAGATTAACTAAATTAAAATAAATTGATGATATAACTTAAAGATAAGATTCATTTAATACTTAATTTGCTGCTTATGAAAAATAATCAGAAGAAATTGATGGTTATTTATATGGACTATCGACAATATTTTTTAGAAATTATTCTAATTAAATTGTTGATTTGAGCATTAATAAAGATGCAGTTTTTGATAGAGAAAAGTTGTTGAAATGGGAAGAAGAATGCAATAGCAATGAAGTTGTTATTGCTGAATTAGCTAAGCAATTAAATGTGTAATTATATATTATTTATTATAAGATTTGTTTAGTTAATATTTTTTTAAGATAAAGACAATTTTGTAGTTAATGAATATGAAAAAGACAAGCAACATAAAATTATCTTATTAATAAAGCCTGGACATTATAATATTGGCTATTTTAAACCTGAAAGTGAAAATAAAAATAATAATTAAGATGAGTAGATTAAGAAAAGTAATTAAAATTAAGAGTAAGTTGTAATAGAAATACATAAATCTGATAATAATGAGATTGATGGATAAACAATTTAATAAAGTATTATTGGTGATGTTGAATCTGTAAGTGAAAATAAAAATAATAATTAAGATGAGCAGAGTAATCCAAGAAATTAAAATTAAGAATAAGTGGTAATAGATATTCCATAACAAGTAATAAATTAACCTAATAGCAAGATTGATGGATTATCACTTTTATAAAATATAATAAATGAAACTTCTTAATAAAGACAAGTGTTAGATGAATATAAATATTATATTAGACGATTTTAGGATAAATCAGATCTAAAAAAAAATTATGGCCTTACATTAAAAGCAAGTTCAAAGTTATACTAATATTGTAATGCATTTAGAGAAGTGAGAGGAGATGGAAATTGTTTTTATACTGCTTTTGGATATTAATTCTTATGTATTTTATTATTTGAATATACATTTGATTAATTTTAAGAATTCATAGATAAAATTAGAAAAAGTGATTTACCTATGAAAATATTTGTTACTGACAAAGATTTGAAGATTGATGATAAATATTTAGAAAAATAACTATTAGAAGAATTTTTAAATAGATTAACTAAATTAAAATAAATTGATGATATAACTTAAAGATAAGAATAATTTAATACTTAATTTGCTGCTTATGAAAAATAATCAGAAGAAATTGATGGTTGTTTATATGGACTATCGACAATATTTTTTAGAAATTATTCTAATTACATTGTTGAATTGAGCATTAATAAAGATGCAGTTTTTGATAGAGAAAAGTTGTTGAAATGGGAAGAAGAATGCAATAGCAATGAAGTTGTTATTGCTGAATTAGCTAAGCAATTAAATGTGTAATTATATATTATTTATTATAAGATTCGTTTAGTTAATATTTTTTAAAGATTTAGACAATTTTGTAGTTAATGAATATGAAAAAGACAAGCAACATAAAATTATCTTATTAATAAAGCCTGGACATTATAATATTGGCTATTTTATCCCTTAAAACGAAAAGTGAAAAAAACAAAAATAAGATGATTTAATTTAAATTTATAAATATATAAAAAAATTTTTTTTTATCTTTTTGGACCTTCATTTTCAAAATAGTATATTTAAAATATTACTTATTATAAAAATATTTTTATTTACATTAACTTTATCATTTCTCAAAAGCTTTAAGAAAAATATTTAAAATCTAGTACAGTATTAAAAATAATATATGTTTTTTTATTTAAGATCTTCATGCATTTCAATCCGTTTTACTATAAGGGTTAAATAAATTGTTTAATATTAATTATAAAGAAGAATTTTCTTTAAAAAGCAAATTCAACGCAAATTAGTTTATTTAACTGGCATTGAATTTGAATATTAATCGGAATTTAAGAATTAACAAGAAAATTTATAGTGGAAAAATTTTTAATTTTTTGCATATAAACTAGACTTTTTCTTTAAACTAAATAGTTGATTATTATTATTCTACTATTCTGTGATAAATTAAACTAGTTTTTGCAAATTTATATTGCTATAAACCCCATAAAAATGAAAATTTAATAAATAGATTTACCCAAATTTGCATTTCTAAATTATTTTTCTTACTGATAATTTTATATTCTTCTTATTTTCTTTATTTTGAAAATTTTATTTTCCTTGTATCTCATTTAATTGATCACCGAATTGAAGAATCACTATTAAGAAATCAAAATTTTTAACTATGACTTCAATGGATTAAAATAAGAAAACTTGGAATATTTTCTCATATTGCAGCGAATAAATAATTACAAATGTTGCATTGATTATTTCAATAAAACAATTACTTAATTATAAATTTTTTTAGTGAAAATCTAGGTTTATTAGTGAAGATGTCGTTCTTATTAACGATGGCAGATTTCATAAAAAAGAGATAACATTGTGAATTGGATAAAGCTTTTATCATCAATATATTAATGCAGCAGAGTTATTAATATTCCATCTAAACATTATCTTATGTGAACAATATGTTTCAAAAATTAATATAATTTTTTAAGGCTTGAATATCTGAAATTTAAAAAGTCTTAGTAACTAAAATCCAAAGATATAATCATACTTCAGAAAAAAATAAGTATCGAGTATTCATTCGATAATACTAGGAAATAAGATTCGCAGGTATAGTAGAAGAAGATGTTATAATTAAATTAATTTTGATTAATACTGATGATGTAAATAGAATAGTTAAATATTATCTGGTTCTTGATAAAATTAGAATTATCTTTTAACTAAATCAAAACAATATACAATAGTAATATGTTTGAATTTTCACAATTATTAAGAGTTTCCTTTTAAATTAAAGCAGCTGAGAATTGGTATATCTGTATTGAGAAGCGATTGTAAAAATAACAAATTTATTATTAGGATTCAAGTATACTGTGGCTTTGAATTCTCTAAATTACAGTAATATGTATTATTTAAGAAGATTAAATGTGGAAAAGAGTGAATTTAGATTACCAAAATTTATATAAAAATTGAATGTAATACCTTCTTAATTGTTCTGTAGAATAATCTGATGAAAATTTATTTTAATTATAAATATTGATTTTTTTCTAATGGATAAAATAAAGAAGCTAAATTTTGATTCTGATTAGTTTTCAATAGACTACTTAAGACCAATACCTTCCCTTATTAATGCAAATAATTTATATTGGAATGAGATTAGCATTCTTAATAATTTATAATGGAATTATACTCTTTAAATCAATAGCGATAAATTAAGTTAGGTAAAGGAAATTATATAGAAAGCTTGTTGTACTTAAGTTAGTGATCAAGAATTAAAGGTAAAAAAAATATTTTAGAATAGTTGATTTAAGACTTTTTAGAAAATGACGAATATTTATTAAAGAATTGTGGGTTTACAACATAAAAATTACCAGATATAATAGAGAATAATACAAACTTAGTATTCTTTTTTTTAGTGAAAAGTGTGAAGTCTTCTGAATTTTAAGAGTAAAGTTTTAAATTATTTAAGTTATTTGGATGTATTTATAAATATTGATGTTACTCCTGCTACTATTGAATTAATTGCAATGATAAATTATTCAATAAAAATACCTCCTGATTTCGTTACATATTATGTGTATTATTGTATTTAATATTGTAATAATATTAAAGTAAATTATAATATACAATCAAATAGGAAAAATAAACATAAACAAAAATAGTTAAATATGTCAGCATTTTTATTCGGCACTTTTTAAAAACTAAGGCAATTGTGACCAAAGATCTTCTGACTGAAGTAATTTTTTATAATTACATAAGCTACAAGCATTTTGCATAGAATTTACTAGAGTTAATGAAGTATCTCAACTTTTCAAATCAGTAAAAGCTTTTAATGAGTTAGGAGCATGATACATCTAATATAAATTACTTAAAATAATCAATATACGAATTAATTTTCAAAGTTCATTAAAGCCAGTGGACTTCAAAATTAAAATCATTAAGTTGTCTGTCTTAAACAATTCCTGAGCTTTTTTATACTATAAAAATTTAAATGGCAAAATTACATTCTTAATGCAACTCTAAAAATTGCTTATCAATTTAATTCATATTGTATCTGACCATTTTCCATTCATTTATGTTACTCCCAAGTTTTTCAAATCCTTCAAGTTATTTAGGTGTCTAAATGGCAGTTTAATTAAATTATTCTATTTCTTCTTTGATAGGAGATGGACTTTTATGAATATTTCTCAATTTTTCTCTAGTATCTTTAAAAATAAGTCCTTTATTAGTTTGATTTTAAGATTTATTATATAATCCCCATGATTAATTTTTTTTTGTTGAGGATTCATCTAATTTAATTTTTTATTTTTGATCCTTTTGTTCACTCTTTTCCTAATTTTACAATGCATTCTAAACTTTCTATTTATCTTTAGATTCCTTTTTAAATTATTTGACAAGTTTTTTCCTTTCATTATATAATTATTTATCTTAAATCCCATAAACTCTAATTCTTTTTAATCCCTTATAATCCTTCTAAGTGTAATTTATAACTTCAACAATCATTTAATTGAATATATCTTGCGAGAGTGGTTCTATATCAATACTTAATGATTTATTCCAATCCAAATTTTATTTCCAAATTACTTTATCATAATAAATATCATCAGAGTTATCACCTTTCAGTGTTATATTAACTTAATCTGCATAATAGTTCTCTATTCTAATTAAATTAAATTAAAGTACATATAGATATTAGAGATATTAAAGCATTTCCAAAATCTATAATGATTTTTGCTTCTTTATCTTTAGTATACCATTAACCAGTTGCTTTGATAATGTTTTCGGTATCTTACATTGATGATTGAGGGATAACATCTACAATTTTCAAAATTAATTCTTCTCCCATATAATTAATATTAAATATTAGTAAACACGTGTTTATGGACTAAAGAACACCAATACAAAGGTTAGTTGAAGAATTACACACAGGATCACCTGCTTAATTGTTAGAAGTGGCTAATCAATGTGAATAAACTCCAAACATCCTATTGACAAAAGCAATCCTGTTAATAAATAATAAGAATTATTAAGAAGCTTCATAAATTTTAAAAGGACTGAAAGATCATTAACTTTATCCTTTTACTAGAGTATATCTACTCTATGCTGAAGGATAATATCAATAGGTTATAACAGAATGTAGAAAAAATGTACCAGAAGATTAGCTATTAATGGGACAGGCTTATTTAAAGTTAGGAGAGTTTGAACAAGCAATACAATTATTTCAGAAATTACTTAAAGAAGTATAAATATCTTAATATCATAAAGAGCAAATTTTAAAATGACTCTCAAGATATTTTAACAAATATTGCAAATGCAGCAATTCAATTAAATGACTAGGCTCAAATGAAATAAATAAATTAGCAAATATTTGAATTTATTAAAAAGAATAAAAATTAATATGCAAGAGAGTTACTTCTTAACCATGCTTTACTTAATTTATAATTAAATGAGTAATTTTTGTTATATATCAAATTTAGTCTAAAGATAGCAAAAGAACTAACTATAAGATTTGAAAACATGGTGAAAGTTGAGAATGAATAGGATGAGGATTTATTCTTAGCCCAATTAATTTTAGATGTGATTAATCCAGGAGATTACAAAAGCAAAGTTAAATAGTAATTATCCATTTAATTTATAGATACGAACTTTTGGAAAAGACTTCAGAATAAGCAGTGCTATTGAATAATTTAGCAGTATTTTAAGAATTTATCCATCCACATCATGATTCATTAAAAAGAGTAGAAGAAGCATTATCTTTAGATTATAAATTTACACCTCAATAACTTCATGTGTTAAAAATAAATAAAGCTATTTTACAAATCATTAAGAATAGACCAACCAAAGAACAAGGCTTGCCTTTATCAGTTTAGATTGCAATTAATCGACAAAAATGGGAATAACCAATTGAAGATCCATATCAATATCTAATATTTGCAACTAATAATGATAATACCAATAAAATTATTGAATTATGCAATGTAAAAAACTGGAATTAGAACAAAGTATTAAGTACCTTTATTTTGGCACATATTTTGAAATTGCCTGATGATACTCTTTATGAAAAACAGATTTAATTAATTGCTTAATTTCATAAAGCCTTGGTCTGCAATTATTATATCAAAAGAGGAAATCTAGATAAAGCTTTGCTATACTATACTGAGGATCAACAAATTAAGAGCCAACTTGCCTTGCTATGTATTGAAAAGGGATAACTTGCACAAGGGGCTAAATTTGTTGACTCTTTATAATTCGATGGAATAACTGATATGAATGAAATAGAAAATTTGGAGAGAAACATTGGTTTATCAAAGAAGGTTGAAGTCTAAGTGAAAAAGATTTAAAAGAAGAAAAAGAAGAGAATTAGATATCCAAAAAATTTCGACAAAACCAATCCTGGTCCATTGCCTAATCCTGAGAGATGGTTGCCTAAATAAGAAAGAAAAGAATGGAAAAAAAAGAAATAAATTCATAGCAGAACTTAAGGAGGTAATGCAGGAAATGAAACAGTAAATACATTTAAATCAAGTGGAGCTTCTACTGCATAAGTTAGCGCAGCTTAGAAAAAAACAAATAAATATAGAAAATGATAAGTTGATAGTATATTATCCTTAAAATTAAATAATCCTATTTTTATTATAAGAATTTATTAATTTTATTTTTAATTTTGACTGAGATTTTCAAATAATATACTAATGTAAGAATATTTATATTAGACTATAAACTAAAAATTTTTGTATTGCATAACTTTAAATTATATAATATTAGATTAAAAAATCATAACTAAATACTTAATTAATTTTTCAATTATTTAATTATAAAAATATTGATAATTTATTATTTTTATTTTTAATGCCATTTTTTAAATTAAATACTTAAACTAGAAAACATTTTGGCCATTTATATACTGGTATGGAAATAATATTTCAAGTTTAATTTTTAAAATTATATTGATTTCATTTTTGAAATAATTATATTAATGTTAATTTGTTTCTAAATTAAGATGATTCTGGAAAATTGAAAAAATGTTATTTTGATTTTTTTTGATTTGAAAATTATATAAATCCAACATTTGGAATGTAAATCAATATTTTAACGATAATGATTAAGGTTATTAGCCTTGCTGTATTAATGATCTAAAAATAGATTGTATATTAAGATGTTAAAATAAAATTTTTGTTTCATGTATTTGAAATAAACAATTAGTTATATTGACAAGCTATATAGTAAGATCGTTATAATCATATGAGGAATACTTAATCTTGTATTATAAATTAAATAAGTCATCAACATCTAAGAAGATTAATTAAATTAGTAATAAAAAATTGAATTTTTTATATAGTTTAAAATCTTGAAAGTTAAGGACATATGGAATTTTGAAATTTTGTTTCCTCAATTAAAATATGGCTAGTTTGTGGTGATGTGGAACGAAAAATCAAATGAGATGTTGAATGACTATTCTGCATTTAGTTATTAATGTTTTCAGTTCAACATAAAATGACTAAAAGATGGGATTTAAGTTGTTACTGAATAGAAACTAATAATAACAATTCTTAGAATTAAATTCTTTTGTTTTAATATTGTTAATCAAATTATTATAATTGATTGAGGATTTATCTGGATTACATAAAGTTTAATCACTAATAATTATTATTCTAAAGAAACTCAAGATGGGAACCTGTTAATTCTTAGCTCAGAATATAGACAAATAAAAAAGTTAGAGTGATATTGGAACAGCCTTCCAACCTTATATAGTATAATTGAAACTTACTCCTCTTGTTGGTAACATTACAGGAGATGATGATAAAATGGATGATTTATACTTTGATATTGAAAAATAAATCTCTATATACTAAGTATAAATAAATAAATATAATAGGAGAAAGTCTAAGTCGATAATCAGTGCAGTCAACTCTAATTGTCATCAAAATTATAAATAACACATGATCCTTCTTCTCAATCTTTTGATCAGTCTTAATAAATTCTGAAGTCCCCAAAAAAAAATAAAAATCTAAATGCAAAATTTAAAGAGATGATTTTTTGAATCCAAGTCAAAGTAGTATAATAATTTGATGATAAATAATATGTATTACTAATTTATCCAAAAAGTATTATAATGTTATTAAGTCTAAATGACACTATTTCATGAACTACACTTAAAATAAATTAAATGTTGTTTGTTAAATACATGTAATTAATTGAATTAAAATAGAGAAATAAAGAATCTTAATTCAAATAATATATAATATTTATTTACATGATATCCATGCCAAATAAAGAAAATTTAATATTTAAAATAATATAAATTAGTTTTAAAATATAACTAATAATATGAGTTTTTGATATATTAAAGAGCGATTAAATTAACTCTTTGTAGTAGCATTAAAAGAATCTACTTTGAAAAAAAAGTAGTCAAAAATAGTAAATTTAATTTATATAATTAATATATGATGAATTAGTCTTATATAAAAATAAGATGTTATTTTATTATTTAATTAAATGCAATCTAATTTTTGGTGGAAGATTACTAAAAAGGAATAAATTCGATTGTTACTTTCATCATTTTTAGGAGCAATAATATGTCTTTTATCAACAACAATAGGGAATTTCATTTTGATAGAGATTCGATATAATTTAATCTTTTCAGCTGTAATTAGCTTTCATTATGTATGAAGTATTTTGGATTTACATTTATAATAACAGGATTATATATTTTGATAAGAACTAAAATATTCATGAATAATAATACTTAATGGACATTAAAATAAAAATATTTAGTTTGTTTTGCAAGTGTTATTATTGCATCAGGATTTATATGTTTTTGTTTATATTTTGATCAAAAATGGTATAGTATTTGAATAGAATAGGCATGAAGGATTAAATTACTTTACCAAGATTCCTTTGTATGTAATTTTGGGTGTTTCATTGAGTTCTTCAATATGTTATTTGTCTATAGACTTAATAAATTTAATTTTTGGTTTGAGTTAGAAAGTCTAATATAGAACAATAGTGGAAACTCCAAATTAGATTATATCTTTTATGTTTATAAGTTCATTAATTGGATTCTTATAAGGATTATTATTTAGTTCTTTGGATATTGAAGTATGTTAAATATATATTTCTATATAAATATTAGGATGTAGAAAACAAAACAATTTCATTTCAATTAATTTTATTTGAAGAATTGCTATTGATTCCTTTTATATTGGTTTTAGGAAGTATAGGAGGGTTTTTCAATGAATATTTAAGAATAAAGGGTAGCCATTTATAATCTTATACATTTGAACCAATCTAAGATCCATTTACAGATGAAATTTGATTATTTATATTTTGTAAATCAAGCATATGAAAACAATCTTTTTTGGGAGTGGTTTATTTCCATTACCTATATTTTAAAGGCTTCATAAATTAATAGCTATCGATCCAAAAGTGAGTTTGATAACAGTGCCAAATCATTCACATAAAGAGAAAAACTAAATTAAAGACTATGCTACCTAATAACAATTTAGTAAATGTTTTGAAAATAAAAAGAAATTTATTAACCAAATTTGTCAGATAAGAGTAATAACTTTGTTGAGGAAATATAAGATAAACCTGATCTTGGAATAGTTTGTAATTATGGATACATGATACCAAATCATATTATCGATATTTTTAATAAGGGAGTTTATGTGATTCATCCTTCTTTATTGCCAAAGTATAGAGGAGCTGCTCCAATATAAAGAGCTATTATGAATGATGAATAGAAAACTGGTGTGTCATTTATTGAGATTTCAAAAAATAAGTATATATTAATCAATATTTAGAGATTTGATGCAGGTGCAATTCTATTAAGAAAAGAAATTGATATACTTGCAGTTGATAGATATAAAGAATTATCATAGAAATTATCATAATTGACAGCTGATTCAATAGAGGAATTTATTAATAATATTGATAAATATGAGAGATTGAGTCAGAATGCCAGTGAGACAACTAAAGCACCTAAGATTACTCATGCTGATTTAAAGGTTGATTTTAGTAATACAGCAAATAAGATTTATAATTAATATAGAGGGATTTATGGAACAAATTTTCATAGTTTAAAATTGAAATATTAGGATAGAGAATTCTATTTAGAGAATATTACTTTGGTAAATGACTTAGAAATAGAACATTTAAAATAATTTAATACAGCTGAGAATGGAACATTATGGTTAATAAAGAATAAACAATTCAAAAACTATTTCTATATAAAATGTAATGAGAATAGTTGGATACGAGTCTAAGAATATAGATTTACAGATAGAGGTAGTAGTTAAGCTGCTTATACATTTAAAAATCAATTCATGATCGATTTTAAATTTGATAGTTTGGATAACCATTACAAGTTAAGTTATTGAGTATATATATATATATATTTATATATAACTAATTATATAAAGAGTATTATTAAAATAATGCACGATTATAAGTATCCAAAGATTGATGCCAAGCATTTTCATTATCACAATGATGGCACTGGAAGGTTAGATTAATATAAGATTTTTAGGGATCAGTATGTAAAACATACAAATGGTGGTTTATTGTCTCAGAAAATGATAAGTTCACTCGATTTATCTCCAAAGGCTGATTACACAAAGATGATATTTCCAAAAAGTGCAACAAAGTACAATGAATTGTAATAACTTAGTTCTCGAAGCAGAGGATTACTTCCACCTTAACATTAAAGAATCCAGCATTATTTTGGAGATGGAAAAGGACGAGATTATTTTGTAACGATTAATGATGGTGGATAAGTGAATTTAAAAAGTTGGAAAGATCATCCAGATGAAGCATTTCCAGCTTAATTACGAAAATATGGAAGAGAATACTCATAACCTGACTGTGTTTAGTACTTGATTTCAAATAACACAAAATTATAATAATTGACACAAACCATGAGATTAAGATAGAGTTAATTTACTAAGCATATTAGTGTTCCTAAGAAGCAATCTACCCCTTAATTATAGAGCTTTATGCCAGATTTGATTGAAGGAGGAAAGTATCAGACATACCAAAAACTGAAATACTAGAGTAAAGCATGTTCTTTTGCAGAATGATACATAATTTGATAAATCATATCCTCAAACGCACCTGATTTTGAGCTATCAATCTTTAAATGACTGGGTTGTCGACATGGTTTGATAATTCTTCTCCATATAATTCAATAAACATGGAGGCCTTCTTAGGAACAGTGCAATAACATGTCTTTTCAGTAGGTTCAGAGTTTTCAAGAGCTTCAAGTTCTTTAATAACATCTTTAATGTTATTCTTAGTCACTTCGACCAGTTTAGTATTAATAAGACAGATTCTAAAATATATTATTAAATTAATTACTCTTTAGTTTCAGAGACAGGTGGTTTTGGAGTTGGGGTCACAGGAGGAGGTACAGTGATATCTAAGACAAAATAATAATAATAAAATACCATCTGGGAAAACAGGTCTGGAGGCTCCACCACATAGATTCATTCTAAATTTACCAATATGGCCATTCCATGAAGGATAGAAACGATCTTTACCAATGTTCAAATATACTTATGGAACTAAGAAATGATTAACATCTTCAAAAAGTATGGTTTCCTTTCTGTCTTTGAATTGAATATATCCTTCTACTTTTCTAGTATCTCTATTGTAAGCATAGAAAATGAAATGCCAATTTGTCTATTGTTATTTTTATGGGATAATCTTTGCCAAATTTGGTTCTCCAGCTCCATTCAAATTCTTATAAGTATAAGTAGCAAAGGCATAAATACCATCTTGAGCAGGTGAAACCCAAGCAGCCAAAGTTCTATCTCCTAATCTTTCAGCATTCTTGTTTGCTTCTTCTTTATTGATATGGAGACGGAAGGCCAAATGCCATTATTCCATAGTAGTTTATTTCCACTTGAACCAACCAGAAACACTATATTCAGATGGGAATGCAGCTGCAGGATCAGATGGGATTTCCAATACTGTAGCTTTGGCTAATTCAAACTTTTTGGATTCTTGAATGAGAACTTATTCAACAGCTTTGGAACAAACTTCTTTTGGTTAAGGATTGCAAGCCAAAGCAAACTTATTTAATTCATCAACATTATCAAGATGAGCACCAGCACCAATCTTAAATACAGCTCTTGTTAATTGACCATTGATAGTTGGATATAATTTGAGATCTGATCCTCCAATAATGAGTCTTAAATATGTTGGTTTTTCATGTGTAACATCAAATGTGACTGATTATGGTTCTTTACCAGTGTACTTAACAAAACCAACAGCTTAACTTGTAATACTGCTGTAACTGAAATAGAAATAAGTCCAAACACCTTCAATATCTCCATATTCAATGTTTTTGTTAAGATTCCAATTATTACTCTTATAATCATTTGTAATAAATGTATAGGCTCCTTAACCTTACCATATAGCCAATAATCTATCTCCTTTTTCAATATTCTTATATTCTTTATTAACTGTCAATCTACTCATGAAATACCATGGTTCACTCTTACCTTAATACATTGGTTTAGGATGTCTGCTCAAATATCTGACCCAATATGAGTAACCATATTCTCTGATATCTTTCAAATTCTCTGGTGTTGCTTCAATATCAGCTAATGGTTTAACATCATCAAATGAAGAATCAACAATAGTTTCATCACCCATCTAACATTTTGGTTCTGGTAATGGCTAAGGTGGTTCAACTGGTATAACAGGTGGTTTTGGTAATTCAGGAGGATTGCCTGGAGTAAATTATGGATTGTATGGATCTTGGCAATTTACAAATGTCACATCAGCTATATATCCACTGAATGCTGGATAGAATTAATCTTTTCCTATCAATATTCTTAAAACTGGAACTAAGTAATGATTTACATTAGGGAATTTCACATCTAATTTACCATCCTTAAATATAGTTGATCCATATGCTTCTCTGGTCTCTCTATTATATTAGAATGTAATATAATGCCATTCAGTGTGTTTATCTTAATGTTTAATAACTTAAGCTGCATTTGGTTATCCAGCTCCAAACATATTTGTGTATGTATAAGTGGCAAATGCATACAATTATTGATCGCTTAACCAAACAGCAAGTGTTCTATCTCCCAATAAATCAGCATTCTTATTAGTCTTTTAATCATTAATTGTAACTCTAAATGCCAAATGCCATGGTTCTTATTTTGTTGGTTCCCATTTATACCAACCACCAATACCATACATAGTTGGGAATAAAGATTTCTCATCCCTGACATGTTCATAAAACTCTGGTTAAGTTGATTCATATTTCTTTATACCTTCAATCAATTTGCTTTCAGTCTTACCCTTGCAATCTGGTTCTGGTCTTGGATTACATGCTAACACAAACTTATTGAAATCATCTTCAGTATTAACAAATGAACCTGCACCTAATTTAAGAATTGGTGATGAAATTTGACCATTAAATCCTGGATATAATTTAAGATCAGAACCTCCTACAATCAATCTTAAGAATTTAGGTTAGTCATGTTTAGCATCAATAACAGTAAATTGAGTCTTATCTCCAACTCTAACAACACCAACAGCTTATCCTGATTTATAACTGAAATGAATATATGTCCAAACTCCTTCAATATCTCCATAAGGTATTTATTTGTTAAGATTTGGATTACCTGAAGCAACATCATTAGTGATAAATGTATATCCAGCTTAACCTAACCAAATAGCCAACAATCTATCTCCCATTCTAATATTATCATATGGATCATTATTCGTCAATCTAGAAATGAAATACCATGGTTCACTAGCTCCTTTAATAAGACTATCTGGCCATCTTGTAAGCCATCTAGTCCAAAATCCATATCCGTATTCAATTGCACTTCCTAATTTATCTTCAGTGACTTTGAGATCAACAACTTTATCACCACTTGAAGGCATGTCTCCAATTTGAACTTATCCACTAACACACTTTCTGACAATCTCAGGTTCTTAAGGTTTAGGTGGTTAAACAGGTTCTTCAGGTTTAGTTGGATCTACTGGTTTAGGAGGAGGTGGTGTTGATGGTACTTAAGGTGGTTTAGGATCTTCTGGGAATACAGGTGTGAATGCTCCACTACATAATTATAATCTCAATCCTCCAATATGACCATTGAATGCTGGATAAAATCTGTCTTTTCCTACATTGACATATACTGAATTGGTTAAATAATGATTGATATTTTCCAAATTAATATTTTCCTTTCTCTCTTTCCATTACAAGAAACCAACAACTTATCTCTTAACTCTGCTATATCCAAGGAACACAAAATGCCATTAAGCTAATTGATCTTTATAAGGCACTTAAACATATTTATTTGGATCACCTTCACCATTCAAATTAGTATAAGTATATGTTGTAATTGCATAGTTTCCATTATTACCAACAAATGCACCCAATGTTCTATCTCCCAATTTGGCAGCATTAGCATTCTCCATTCCCTTATTTTAATGGAGACGTATAGCTAAATGCCATGGTTCCATAACTGTGGGTCTCCATTTGAACCAACCACTAATAGAATATTCATCAGGGAATGCTTATTCTTCAGGAGAAGTAATTTCATTAACTTCACTAGTTTAAGCTTCAAATCTCTTAGATTTTTCAATCAACAAGACTTCTTTAGCTTTATTACAAACTGGGAGTGGTCTTGGATTGCAAGAGATTGCAAATTTACGGAATTATTCAGCTGTTTCAATAAATGAACCTTATCCTACTTTGACAACAACAGATGTGAATTAACCATTGAAACCTGGATAAGTATTACCTTGGGTACCACCTAAAACAAATTCTAAGTAATCAGGTTTGTCATGTGTAGCAGCAACAGTGAAGGTCTTTGGTTCATTATTGTCATATTATATCCATGAAACAACTTTACCTGCAGAGGTATATGAAAAATGAACGAATGTCCAAACAGCTTCAATATCTCCAAATTCAAAACGACCAGCATCTGTATTGAAATTATTATTTTTATGATCATTAGTAACAAATGAATAATCTGATTTAGCTTAGTATATTGCCAACAATCTATCTCCTTTTCCTACATCCTCAAAGTCTTTTCTACCTGATAATCTGGCAACAAAGTACCAAGAAGCTCTTTTACCTTGATACATTGGAACAGGATGACGAGTCATATATCTCATCCAGAATTAATATCCATATTCTCTTACATCTTACAATTATTCTGGTTTATCTAATACAAGATCAATTAATGGTTTTTATGAATCGAATGCAGTGTCAGCAACATTAGTATCACCCTTCTAACATGTTGGTTCTTTTTATGGCTCAGGTGGTTTGATTGGTACTTCAGGTTATTTAGGAACTTCTGGTTCTCCAGGTGGTTTGAAGTCTGGATCATATGCATTTTCACAAGCAAAGAATTAAACATTAGCTAAATAACCACTATAAGCTGGATAGAATTAATCCTTTCCTAAAAAGATCTTATATAATGGGGCAAGATAATGATTGACCTCATCTATGTATTTCACTTATCTATCACCTTTTGTGAATAGAATAGTCAATACTCTCTTTTACTCTCTTGAATAAGCCATATAAATGTAATGCCATTCAGTATGCTTATTTTAATGTTCAGTATTAATGTACTTATTTGGATTTCCTTTACCGAAATTGTCAGTGTATGTATAAGTAGCAAAGTGATAACCTCCTGTTTTACCCAAAAAGGTTGTAAGATCTCTATCTCCCAATAATTAATCATTTTTATTATGTTTTTATCCATTAATTGTAACTCTGAATGTTAAATGCCATTCTTCTTATTCAGTTGGTGTCCATAAGAACCAACCTCCAATAGCATAATTATCTGGGAATGGACGTTCATTATCAGCTACAAACATTGTGACTTCACTTCCTTTGTTAAATTATTTTGTAGATTCAATCAAATTACTTACTCCTCTTCCTTTCTTGCAATCTGGTTCTGGTAATGGGTTGCATGATAAGGCATATTTTTAAACATCTTCAGGAGAACCTATAAATGAACCTGGACCTATCTTCAAAACTGGTCTTGTGAATTAACCATTGAATCCAGGATAGAGTTTGAGATCATTACCTCCCAAAATGAATCTTAATTTCTTTGGAGCCTCATGAGTTATTCCTGCTAATTCAACTATGGATGTTTATTTGTTAGCATGAACAAAAGCAACAGCCTTCTTTTTCAATGGACTGAAACTGAAATGTATGTATGTCCAAACACCTTCAATATCTTTATATGGTTATTATTTATAAAGATTAGGATTAGAAGTTCCTTTATCATTTGTAATAAATGTATATCCATCCTTACTTAAGAATATTGCTAACAATCTATCTCCCATTCTAATATTATCATATGGATCATTTGATGTTAATCTTGAAACAAAATACCATGGTTCACTCATTCCTCCAAATAATTATTCTGGATGTCTAGTCAACCATCTACTCCAAAATCCATAACCATATTCTGTGACATCTTTCAAAGCGTCATCTGGTACTTAAATATCAGCAACTGGTTTAACATCTGGTGCTGAAGATGAATCTCCAATTGCAGCTTGACCTTCAATACATTTTTACATAACTTCTGGAGTTTTTATGATAGGTGGGGGAGGTGATACTACAACAACTGGTGTAGGTGGTTTAACAGGTGGTTTAGGAGGTGGTTAAATAGTTGGAGTTTTAGGGGGTGGTTCAACAGTCTTTGAAGGAGGTGGAGTTGGACCTAATGGTGATGGACTTGGAACTGGAGTTGTAGTTCTTGGGAATTTAGGATCATAAGCACCATTACATAAATCAATTCTAAATTTGCCTATAATACCATTCCAAGAAGGATAATGATCATCTTTAGCTAAATTGATTGAAAGTCTTTAGACTAAGAAATGGTTAACATTCTCAAATGTTCTCTCTTCTCTAGCCTCTTTAAAATGAACAATAGAATGAGCAGTCTTTTATTTAAATGAATATCCAAAGTAAACAAATGTCCATTCTTAAATTCTATTCTTGTGTTGAATTTGATTCATGATATTTGGGTTACCTTCTCCAAATAAGTTATTATATGAATAAGTGGACAATAACACAATACCATCATTTGCAGTACCAATCCAAGCTGCCAAATCTCTATCTCCTAAATTCTTTGCATTATTATTCTCTTTTGTGGCAAATACTCTGAACATTAAATGCCATGGTTCTTATTTTTCTAATTATTTCCATTTGAACCAACCACTTACTGAATATTCTTCAGGGAATGGTGTTTCAAGACTTGTTTTTACTGTTTGTACTTTAGCAGTCTAATCATTGTATCTAACAGCTTTGTGAATGAGAGTTTATTTAGCTCTTTCAGTACAATCTAATTTTGGATAAGGATTGCATTTAAGATTATAATCGAATAATTCTAATTCAGAATTAACATATGCTCCTTCACCAATTTTGAAGACTGGATTAGTAAATTACCCATTAAATCCAGGATAACTAAACTATTTACCTCCTACTACCAATCTTAAATAAGTTGGAATATCATGAGTAACATCTAATGTGATTTATTATACTTTTCCAATAGCTCCAAATTTTAATAAACCAACAGCCTTCTTTAATCTTCCACTATATGAAAAGTAAACATAACTCCATAATCCTTCAATATCTCCAGTTGGTATATTTTAATTAACATTTGGATTACGAGATGCCTTATCTAATGCAGTGAAATGATATCCATTATCATAATGCCATATGGCAAGAACTCTATCTCCCATTTCTGCATCATTAAATTTTTGATTAGTGGTTAATCTAGATACAAAGTAATATGTATTTTTTGTTCTTCCTGAAATTAATTCATCTGGATATCTACTCAACCATCTTAACCAGAAACCATAACCATAATCGGTTGCTCCTGCAAGATCTTTACCTTCAATTACTGAATCAGCAACAGCTTAATCTGAACTTGCACTCATGTCACCTACTACATTAGCACCCTTGACACAATCAATAACGACTTAAGGTGTTGGGGTAGGAGTTTTTGGTTTAGGAGGAGGTTTTGGTGTTGGATCTTTAGGTTTAGGAGTTGGATCCTTTGGTTTAGGAGTTGGATCCTTAGGTTTAGGTGTTGGATCCTTTGGTTTAGGTGTTGGATCCTTTGGTTTAGGTGTTGGATCCTTAGGTTTAGGAGTTGGATCCTTAGGTTTAGGTGTTGGATCCTTAGGTTTAGGAGGGATTGGTGTAATTACGATAGGAGTTTTAGGATCAGGTATAATTGGTTTAGGATCAACAGGGATTACTGGTTATTCTGGAGTGGGAGTACTATCACATTGTCCTCTAATAATTTAAATCTTTCTGATTTCTCCCTCAATATTGATAGTGATAGGCTTCTAGCATTCTTCTTCTAATTCGAGTAGGTCTAGAAGTAGAACTTCAATCATTTTGAACAACATTTCGCAACAGGCTTTTCTGGTTTAAGTGTCGGTAGCTGCCAAAACTAAGTTAATTTATGATTTCATTCCATCAATATGTGGACGGGCAAAAGTGTTTGGCATTTCGATAAGTGCCAAGGAATCAAATTTATGTTTTAACATATAAAGGTATTGTAGATTGTGAACTTAAACAAATGAAACCTGCACTTGTTCTTCCATTCCTTTCTTTGCTAACATTTACAATTCTCTCAATTCCTTAATATCTTAATCTAATCTTCCTGTCTAAGCAAAATTAATAGCCTCGCTAAGTTTCTTGAGGCCTTCTTCGGCATCATAAAGCTTGGATTTATCACATCCATAAGACTCTACGTCAATTTGAGCTAATGATTGCACATTTATCAAAGAGGCACTTGCAACTAATAGATAAGAATCAAATATTACAGCTTATAAGCCCTACAAGTACCAACAAGACAGCAACTTTGTTTGTCGTCATAATTTTTAATTATAAAATAAAAACGGATTTTAATCCCCGATCCCCTTTTCTGCTATTGATTCGATAAGGTAATTAAGTACTGATTTTGATAATATAACATAGGAACTCTACCCTTTATTTGGCAAAAATCCAACACAACCAATCAACCATACATTATTAATTAATGTAAAATTTGCATCTTCCCACTTCGCAACTCTATTATGAGATCTGTGCACTATCTAGAAATAAAAGAATTAATGATATTGAAAGAAGGGCGCTTAAAAAAGTAATACTTATTGATATTCTATAGCTAGTAATTTTGGATGATAAGTATATTTTTGAGCTTATCGATGACTACAATCAAAAAAGAATAACAGAGACCAAGTTGTAGGATTAACTTATTCTTCTCTCCAAAGATGTTGATATGAAATGTAATCTATTCAACAACTTCTAGCTGATACAAATGATGAATGCTAACAAGTACTTGATTACCAATTCAACCATGCAGAAGCAAAAAAAGTAATTGACTTTATTTAACAAAATCCATAAATCCCAGAAGAAATAGCATCTCCCTTAGGTGCATAATTGTGGAAAAAAAGAAGAGCTGAAAGATAAAGCAGAAAAGGAAAGTGACAGTTTGAATAATTATACAATTATATTATTTGTTTATTTTAAAAATAATATCTCTAAAATGATTATCAAAAATTATTAAAGATACTTTAAAAATTCATCATTTCTAATTGATTCAAAATATGCTTATGTATATGAATATATTTAGGGGCTTCCATAGTTAAAAAATCTTAAGATAAATTAAAAAAAATCAGCCTAAAAAATTCTTTTGTATTATTAAACCAAACTTTTTTTTAATATATATTAGCTAAAAGAAGAGCATAAAATAAATAGTAGTTTTTTTAATAATAATAATTTCATTAAAAAAATTTTATAGAAATCCAGATTGAATCAATGACGCATCATAAAATTATATATTCTGGCTATGTTTATTAATCAAGATATTTTATATGTTAATATTAGTTCTATTACCTATTGTCTACTTAGGTTAAACATTAGAATAATGTGAAGTCAAACAAGAATAAATATAAATGTTCTTCTCAACCTAAGAAACATTTGAATGGAACTTAAAAGATTTATTTTCAGGATCCTATTTGAATTACACAATATCAGCAAAATAACCCTTTTTTACTTTTAAAAAACCTATCCATTAAGAATATATACCTAAATAGTTGATAGAAGGTATAATATGTTTTTATTTTAGGTATATCAAAAATTGTTGCCATATAAGCAAAGACTGAATAAGGATAGAGAGTATGGTTAAATTATTTTGCTTTTATAGAAAAAAGTGTAAATTAATTATCAATTTTCTATGCTGAAGGGTAATTATATTTAAATGATAAAGTAGTACATAAGGAGATTATAGACCACCATATTTTAATTATAAAATAGTGTTTACTTAAAATCAAGATATTTAATGTTTAAGTTTAGAATATCTTAATGATACTTCATTTTTAGCTGATTGCTATAATTCTATGAAAAATCCAATATAAAATTATTTTTACGTTGTAAGTAAATCTGGTTCTGTAAGAAATATTAGTAATCAGAATTAAGATGTGTAAAATATAATTACAAAAAGAATTACTAAAGTGATACCATTTGTTGATGCTAAAAAGAATCAAATGAAATTATTGTTTAGATCAACACCAGCATATGCAACTGGATCAGACTTAAAAATTAATTCATTAATTGAAATTTATAATCTAGAAACATTTTAAATAGTTAATTAATTAACAGCACGTGATATTGGTACACTTTTGAAAGTTTAAGATCCTTACAAATATTAATTTAGTTTGATAGATTTTGAATTATTTCCAGATGGTAAACTTTATATTTTAACTGCATTTGATGGAATAATAATATTATAAATGGATTAAGGTTTTGGTTTTACTTTATTAGATAGAATAAAATTATATAATGATGTTAGAGAATTTGATGTTAGTCATTTCTTGTCATAAGAAGGATTTTTAATTGAAGTTATTGGAGTTTTATACTAAAATAAGGCTGAAATTTATGAAAATAGAATTTATAAGGATTCATATTAATTAGATTTTACTCCTGTTTATACTACTTTATTAAAAATATCACAAGAACTATTAATTATTTAAAATAAAGGGAAAACATATTTAATCAATATTGAAACTCAAGATTTGATATATAAAGAAGTACTTGAAGGAATTTAAGGAATATTAATCAATTAATATATGGAAGAATTAATCTATATTACATAAATAGATGCTAGAAGATTTACTTTATCAAGTGGAAAGTTAAGATTTACATCAGGAGATATAACTGCATCAAGGGAAGTAATAACAATTTCTGCATATGATGAACTTGGTTTTTAATGTTAATCTCAATTAATATATAGAGTTTTAAATTAATTTGATTCAAAATTATATGCACTTTAAGAATTAGAAATATCAGATGTATTTTATGATTATCCTTTATGGAATCCATTTAAAATTCCAGTATCAGGGCCAAATATATAATTTGGTACTTATTCTGAAAGTATATCTGAATATGGAGGAACAAATACTGTAAAACTTATTATCAAATCTGGAGGCACTATTAATGCAGAATCAATCTATTCTTAAATTCCATTAGCAAAATCTACATAATTTGTAAAATTAATTAGTTTAGACCAAAATGAATAAAAAATAGCTATTATATTTTAAGAATCATCAACTAAGAATATTCTTACTTACATTTGTTCTACAGATTAATATTATGATGGAAAAGTAAATTTATATTGCATTAATTATATGAAATTTTCTGCAAAAATAGATTTAGTTAATTCAAATTTCTAATGTTATTTTAAATAAGAAGTTCTGTATGTATTTATAATTGATAATTTTTACACTGTTGGAATGTATTCTATTTCATAATAAGATGTATAAAATCAATATAAATTTATATATAATTCATCAATATCAATAGATTCTATAAGTGTAGTTGCAAGCAGATTATATGTTATATTGAATAATCAATAATTAGACATTTGGAATATTGAAACTAAATCAAGATACTCAGTAACTTATAACACAGTAAACTAATTAGGATTTTATGGTAATTGGAAAATTAGGAAAGTAGTAGGTAATTCTAGATATCATCCTACTATCTTATTTATAATTAATAATGATAATATTATTATTGCTGATTATCATAAAGAATTAACAATTATCAAAGTATTAACATATGATAAATCTACTATTGATGTAGCTATTGGTGAGGATACATTCTTTGTAGTAGTTCATACAAGCATAATAAGTAGTATAATAGAATATGATATTACTAATTATTGTAATATCTTTAAAATGAAAGATCTACCTATTTACAGATACAAAATTTAAGATTCATTGACAATGATAAGTAGTATTGATTCTGGATTATTATATATTGCAGCAAATGATATTGATAATAATAATACATCAGTCATTTTGATTTATAAACCTAGATAATCTTTAAGAGATTCTTTAATTAAAGTTATGATACCAAAAAGATAGAAATTATATATTTTTGAATCTTAAATGGCTGCTGGAGGATTTAATCATTAAATATTTTATTTAAATGATGGAGATGAACATAATTTGGAATGGATTGACAAATATTATTATTATTAAGTAACTCCAAATTATGAGACAAATTAATGGGTGAATAAATTCAGATTAAATGTAAGTATATCAAATTTAAAATAAAATCCAATTGTTGAATTAAGTTAAGCTATAGTTTTATATCAAACAAAATCTTAAATAAAGTTTTTTTAGACTAATTTGAATATTACAAATTAAAAGTGGTTTAAAGATGAAATTACATTAAATATGGTAGGAACAATATTTGATTATTTATTGTAATGTTAATAATGTGGTTAAGGTAAAAATGTTAATATAATCTAACCATTAACATTATTTAAATAAGAATATGGAGATGATTTAAATGTAGTTGATTAGATTGAATGTGGAGGATAAGATAGTCTTAGAATATTATTAGTATCTAAATCAAATTTATAAGCAGTTAGAATTTATAATAGTACAAATTCATTTTTTAAATCTATTGTAATTTCTAATTAAACTAATTATAAATGTGAAAAAGTCTTAAAATATTTAAATCATATGATTGTAGCATGTCGTAATTCATAAAATTACTAAATGGTAACAATTTGGTGTGATAATGAAACTTCATGTGGCAATGTAATTAAATATTCAGATATAACAACAAATGTCAAAAATATTTATTCAATGAATTTTGATTATAAATATTTAATTGTAGTAGATGCTCATCCTAAAAATCTTAAAAGTATGGATACTTATTTACGTCTATTTCTTGTGACTTTTGATGATACTAAACATACAGTTACTTATTCTTAAACATAATCAATAAATACAGTATAATAATATGGTGAATATTTAGTTAAAGCTTTATTACATCATCGTCCCAATTATAGTGTAAATACATATATTCTTGGATTAATGTCTAATGGAGCTTTAAAAATATATACTAGTTCATTGACACTTAAAGTAAGTACTATAAATATATATACAGAAATCATTAATAATGGTGGAGAAATCATTTAGAAAGAATTTAATGACTTTTTTTTTACTGAAATTCCTACTTATTCTGTATATATTTCAACTATTCATTTACTTTTTACATCTTAATCTTTGAATTATAAATTTAATTTAGTTTATGATACAGATAATTATAAATTAAAATCAATCACATATAATTATGCTTTAAGTCGATATTATGATGCACAAACATTACCAGGAATGTGGATTGATTAATATAAAAATATTGCTTCAATTCCATACAGAGTTAATGATAAAAAAGTATTTATATTTTTTTAATTACCTGATAATTCTGTAAATGATAAAAGGATTGTATATTCATATGGTGGAATATCTGAATACCATGATTTTACTTATACAGATTAAGTATCTTGTACAATATAAAAAAATGTAAAATAATTAAATCTATATAGGTTGTTATTTTAGGAGTTAATTCTAAATATGAATCTAATATGTTTTATATAAAATATTATGATTTACAATTAAAATATACTATGATAATTGATAATTCAGGTGGCAATCTATAGAATTAAGTAGGTTCACTAGAATTATCAAATACCATATGTTCAGAATAACTTTAATTTAATATCAGAATAAAAGAATCTGAATAGAGAGAAGAAAATTCAATTATAGAATCAAATGAAAATAAGATCATGGATGCATAATCAAAATGATTATTATTAAATATGATTCTTTTAAAATTATCATTATATCTTAATATATTATAAATTTAGAATATAAATATACTATTAATGATAATTTCATTTCTATTTAAATAATTAATATTATTCAATTATTATAAAGGAATTTATAATATTTATTTAATAAATAGAAGAAATATAAATAAAAAATATAATTATATTATTTTAAACTGAAATTCGAAATTGAATATTAATTCAAATCATAACATTTAATTTTATCTTTCTGCACTTTAACTCTCTCTATAATCTTAACCTTTAAGAAAATCTGGACAACTTTCTTTGTTTGGATTAGTTAGAATCTAATATGAAATCAATATATATACTCTCATCTTCTATTTTTCTAATTTTGGACAATTAGCCATTCTATGTCCCATTCCATCACAATATCCACAAGAACCATTTAAATCTTCATCTGATTTTAGTTTCTCTAAAAATTAAGGAATTTCTTTAATAATAATATTTTAATACTTTATTTAGATTCTACAAGTAGATATTTTAAATCTAATAAAATTGATTCTTCTTATTATCTATTAACAAATGTTGTTGCTCTTCCTGTTTTACCTTATCTTCCAGTTCTTCCAATTCTATGTATGTAAGATTCAATCTAATTTAGAATACTATATTTACATCTTTTGGCATATCATAATTAATAACATGTTTAATATCTGGAAAATCTAAACCTTTAGCAGCTACATCAGTTGCTACCAATACATCTTTTTGTCCATTTAAGAATTATTTTAATGCTTTAGTTCTATCTTCCTATTATTTTCCTCCATGTAATCCAACTACTTCAACTCCTTTAATTAAAAGATATTCATTAATATCATCAACATCATTTTAATGTTCACTAAAAATAACAACAGGAGGTGTTGTTTTTTTGAGACAATCTAATAAATAATGTAATTTTTCTTCTTGTTTAACATATAATATTTCCTATATAACATTCAAATTAATTTAACCACTTCTACCTACATTTATCACTAATGGATCTACTAATGTTTATTTTGTAAATTCTTATATTTTCTTTGGAAGTGTAGCACTAAATAACATAGTTTATCTAGGACCCTAAACTAAGGTATCAATTAATTAATCATACTGTGAAATGTTCTAATATATTTCTAATTTCCAATTCAAATACTTAATCTAACATTCTATCAGCTTCATCAAGAACTATAAATCTACACAAATCCATATTTATTTTCTTTTTATTTACCATATCACTTATTCTTCCAGGAGTACCTATAACAATATGAACTCCATTTCTTATTGATTATAATTATGATGACATATCCATACCTCCTATACCTAATAAACAATGTATTGCTGGAAATCCCTATTATTAAATAAATTTCAATACTTTTTTCTAAAATTTCTGGCAATATTGTTTAGCCAATTCATAAGTCAAAATTGCCAATTCATGTGATGGTAATAATATTAATGCAAATGGTCCTTCACCTCTTATTATTGGCATTTTCATCTCTTCTTCTATACATTATAATAAAGCAGGTAACAAAAATACTAAAGTTTTACCTTAACCACTAGGTGCTACTCCTATAATATCTCTTCCCATTAAACTTAAATATTAATTTATAAATTACACTGCTGGCAATCCTTACATTTGAATAGGAGTTGGCTTCTTAATTTTCATTTTGCTCAGGATTTTCAAAATTCTGTTATCTACTCTTAAATCTTAAAATGATTTAATTGGAGGTGGAGGATCATTTCCTTCTATCATAATGGAATATTTCTTCAAAATTTTATCAATTTTATATTAATCCCACAATCTTTATTTCTTTTTAGGTCTCCATCTTAAAATATAAATATATTATTTTTACTTTGATTTTACAATCTCTTTACTTTTTAACAACATTAATGTACTCCATGTTGAATTTTTCATAGCATTTTCTATTTGCATCTATTCATAAGCCTAAATCTTCTATATATCTTCATCATTTATTTTCCTCATATTTCCATTATCTATTCCTTATTACTTCATCTACATTTTCTCCTAAACAAGAGATCTTTTATATTCATCCTATTATTATTATTATTGATGCATTTATTGAAAATTTATTTTATATTTAATAAATCAAGCTTCCTCTTCTTCTTCTTAATCTACTTTAGGTTTATTAGCATTTCCTTCAGCAGCTGCTTTATCTGCAGCCTCTTATTCAGCAGCTGCTTATTCAGCTGCTAATTCTGCAGCCTTTGCAGCTTCTTCTGCTAATCGTGCTTCTTCAGCTAATCTTGCTTCTTCAGCTAATCTTGCAGCTTCCTCTTCCTCCTCTTTCTTCTTTTAAATAGCAGCAGCAATTCTTTCTTTTAATTCTGCCAAAGCATCAGCTTTTTCTTCTGGAGGTACTGGTTCTTTATTGACTCTTTCAATTTATTATAATATCATAATGATTTCTTTTCTTATTCCATCTCCCATTTCAGTTGCAATAGGATTTTCATGCATAGTAATTGATTTAAGACTTTCTAAAGATTTAAGATTATTAAATTCATCCAATTTCTCAATTAAATTGGCTCTAAGATTAAGATGATGTAATTTTGGTAAATTTGGAATATCTGTTAATACAACAATTTTATTTGCTCTTAAATGTAAAGTATGTAATTCAGGTAATTGATTTAAATGTCCTATTGAAATAATTGAATTTTATGCAGCCCAAATTTATTTAAGTTTCAATAAATTCTAGAATCTATAAATATATTTTTATATAGATATAATTACCCTTCAAATGATTCTAATTTATTGTTTCTTAATTCCAAAATTTCTAATGTATTATGCCCATTAAAACCTTATGCACTTCTAATTAAATTATTTTTTAATGATAATTTCTTTAATCTAGGTACATTGATTTATGAAAAGTTAGTAATTTTATTATTATCCAAATTTAATTCATCTAAGAATTCAAATGTATTTGGAACATTAAAACAATCCAAATTTGTTATTTGATTGAATGACAAATTCAAATTAGTTAAATATTTAATACTTTATAAAGTATTTACATCATTTAATTGATTATTTGCAAAACTAATTTTCCTCAAATTCACATAATTCAACATTATATTAAACAACTTATCTATTTTCTAATATACTTTATATTAATTTGTACCTTATTTTCACATATTAATTCAACAAATGTATATCCACTTAAATTGGCAGTTTTACCAATTTTTTTAAGTCCCTCTTTTATATCATTATGTAACTTTTGAATTTATAATGATTCTGGAGCATAATATTCATCTTATGGAACATCTGGCTCTTCAGGTTCAATTGGTTCTACTTATTCAACATCTTATTTCTCTTCTCCTTCATCTTATTAACTCATATTTATAATTAAAAATAATAATGTAAAATTTTAATTATTTAAGAGGTATCAAATTTCAAAATCCAATCTAAACATTATCACTCATTATATTTTTCATCTAATTCTCAAAATCATTCTCATAATCTTACACATAATGTAATAATTCCCTTACAAAATGTTAATATTTCAATTCTCTAACACTTCTACCTACTGCTATATTCTTAGCATAAAATTCAAGTATTAAATAAAAATAGATTTAATGTATATCTATAATCTTTACTATAGCACTCAATATTTCTATTTTGTATCCCTAAAATATATATATTATATATTTTACCATCACAATTGATGAATATAACATCAATCTTCTATTATCATCCACATAAAGATTTGTTTAACCTTATTCTTTTTATATAACATTAACTAAAAACATTATATCATCTGCAGTTTCTATTGTAAACATGATTTCTGGTATAACTGTTCTAACAATATAACAATTTTTCTATTCTAATAATTCGAATTTATATTTTAATATTAATTACTTACCTTCAGCACCTAATTTCATTGAACATTAATTATCCCCTCCATTTCTATTAAAAGTTGATTGAATATATTATGAAATGATATTCAAAGAATTTATATCTGATTACCAAACAAAATCAAAATAACCATTGTTTTATTCAATATCTATTTTCTATTTATCAATTTTTTATTTTTCTTATTATTATTATTTTGCAATATCAATCATCTTATTATTATTCACTACATGTTTATAATTAGGTCTAAAAACTGCAGCTACATTATTTTTTAATTATTTAAATTCCTATTTACTATCTAAATATTATTTTATTTTTTATGCAAAACTAGTCAATACATCATGACTCTCAGATCTTATTTCTGGTAAAGCTCTTAAAAATTCAAGCAAATTTTCAGTCTAAGTTTTAATATTAGGTTATTATTTCCCATTCTTAGATAATTCTTAATCTATTCTTTTTTTATCTAAAAATAATTTTCGAAGTTCTTCATTTGAATCTAATTAATATAGAATCATGCTTTATTTAAAGCTATATCTCCATGATTTCTTTTTAATTAAATCTTCTGAATACAAACTATCTACACCAGCATATTTTTCTTTTAATTCAAATAATTCATCAATATTCTAAATCTTCAATTGAAAAGTATAAAATTGTTATTTATAAAATTTTTTATCTTCATCTAACTCCTTTACATAAGGATAGAAAGTATCTAAAAATTAACAAAAAAATATATGTGTCTATTATAATTATTTTTAAATTATTACCACATTTTAATATACATTGAGTCTATAATTCACGAATTTCTCCCAACTAAATTCAAATTTATTGTAGAAAATATATTTAGTTATCACTGTAAATGTTGGAATTAATAAAAAAAAGTCTTATTCTTAATGGAAAATTAAATTTTCACGAAATGGATCCAAAAACTGCCTAAATTCAATACATCAAAATACCCAAAATTGGCTGTCCAATGAAAGCTTTCAATTAGACATTATAAAACTTATTTTGCCATCAATACATCTTATAGCTCAAGTTTGAAATCTTTTATAAATCCTTCTAGTTTGCCTTCAGATTCTTTCATTATTATTTTTACCTATTCCCCATTAAGACCATCATAATAATAATC